TATTTAACACAAAGGAAAAATTCATTTGAAAAAACAATGTCAACTGAATTTTTAGGTCTTCTTGTACATCATCTTTTCACTAATATCCAGTCACTACCAGGTAAGTGGATAAACCGTCACTAAAGTCAAACATTTTAATATTTGGTTTTCTCTTGCCTCTTTACTTCCAAGGCTACTTTTGCAAACTGTATCAACATTACTGAGCAGAGAAACAGTAAGTGATTAAATCAATTAAATGATGGGGAAAAACTCTAATATGAGGGACTGAAATTCCCTTTGAGAATTTCCAAAGGGGAGAAATTAAAGAATTCAAATCAGATAAATATGTTTTTCTACTTTTCTCTCATGAATATAACACCTATCAATGTTAACACTTCAGCATTAACACCATGATTGTTCACACTTTCTGTTAAATTATGTGTTTTGAAATGTTTACCCCATTGTACTATGTTAGGATCTAGTAGATAATTCTCCCCTTTGAAACATGTGATTTATAAAGGGACTGAAGGGAAATACACAGAAGATAAAACGAATTCCACAGTAAACACTCTGTTACATAAGTAAGAGACTCCTGTACTAAAAACGACCTGTACAAAGTTTAAAGTTTTACAACACAGAATGAATCTGTGATAAAGCAAGATTACTTCAAATGATTACTTCAATTAATTACTAAAAGATCATTATTGGGTAAACTTAACTTTTAAACTCATTAAAAGCAGAGAACATTATTCCAGAAATCAGATAAAATAGAATATACTATGGTATATTACATATTTTCAAGGAAATATTAGAGTGTGGAATATAAGTTTTGATGATTTACATATTTAATACAAGTCCCAGATGAAAAATACTGAAAATATTATTTCTGCTTTAATCTCAATACGTTAAGAAAAATTCATTGGCACAAATATCTGGAGGTATTTTACAGTTTCATTTAGCCTTTGGTGGCAAAGCATGTTTTGCTAACCATACTAATAGAGCCATATTTTTCAATGTAGTGTTTCATGGTCAAAAAAACTCAAATGTGTGTTTTTTTCCTGTAAAAGGGATATAAAAAGTCCAATATGAAACAAGTACAACATGAAATACAAAATATGCTTATAATTTAGGCTTTTGAACAGTTAATAGTTCTATGTTTTGTCTATAAATCTTTTAATAGTACTAGTAATATTACTACTATACAAATACTAAAAATAAAAATAACATTAAAAATAACATATGAACTTTACAAAAATGGCTAATTTTTAGACTTCCTAAATTAAGATTAAATTCAAATATGCAAACAAATTTACACTGATCAAAATACATCAATACAGGGGTTTTTTTTAATAAGTGTTCAAAGTTACAAGGTACAGAATCATTACAGATAATTCTGACTCAGACATATCGAGTCCTACACAAAGTCATCAGAAACTCTTGGCATTTCAAACCACAGTCATTTTTGACAGCATAACATAACCAAGCAAACACTTTTACAAAGTCCTGTACTTGACTTAAAATTTTCAACTATACACAATGTAATCAAGATGTAGTTTAGAATGTCCCCTAACTTTTGAAAGACTTTATTGATTCAGGTGTACTGTTATATTGATACTATTAATAAAACAAGTTAGTCTATTCTATTTCTAAGCTTCATTCCATTCTGAAACTGTTCTGAATATACAAAATTCAGTCTTCTTTATTCATAATATAATTCATCACAAAAATGTGAATTCTTGAGCATTTACAGTACACATATTCAGATTTGGATTACTGACCTGTCTTTTCTTTCCTATCATCCTTATTAAAAGTAAAGAACACAAATAGCCTCTCAGACTTCCCACTTCCTCAGGCTGTTGAAACTTACTGTGAAAGAATGCATAAGAAATATGTATAAATAAAAGTTCATTACAGACGTTGTAATGCTGTCCTCTGTCATAAAGAGTGAGATAAAATTTCAGCTCTCAATCATCTATTTGTAAATGTACCTTCTACATTTATTTACCTTGTGTGGCAAGGAAGCTTTCTGTCAGGGTCTAATTTCATAATACAAAGATATTCTTTTTTTTTTTTTTTTTTTAAGATTTTATTTTTAAGTAATCTCCACATCCAGTGTGGGGCTCAAACTCACAATCCTGAGATCAAGAGTCGCACACTCCACTGACTTAGACAGTGAGGTGCCCTTTATAACACAAAGATACTTTTATTACTTCCTGGAAGTCTGTCATGCTCTCCAAATTGACTTCCCCCTGAAAAACTGCACAAGGTATCTAGTTTCCTATGATAGTAACACAGAGAAAAAAAAGTGATGATGAAAAATAATCAGCAGATGCCTCATTGTATAAAGTTACAACATACTAAAAATTTTTTTCCCAATTGATTTTAATAACAGATTACTAAAATTGCAAATATAGCACTGTAAAGTTTTGCACTAAAACTCCTAATAAAGCAAGATTTACACTCAGAGCTAAGGCTCAAGATGAAAATACAGGTCAAAGGAATTATCTGGGGATTCAGGAATCAATTCTTCCCATTTTCCCTACAGCTTTCTGGAACTAAACTGAAAATCAGTTTTACCTCCTTTTATTTCCTCTGGCCACTATGTGTAAGAGGTGCTAATGAGCAGTGAGGTGAAATAAATTTAATGTGTTATGAATGACAAGTCTGAAGCATTAAGAAAAGTGTAGAACTAGATAATGAACAAATTATATAATCTGCCTTTATTAAGTCTGTGTAGGTGTGGTGGAAACATGTACCGTCTGCACAAGTGATAGGATAATCAACAACAAACAAATTTACTAGGCCTAGTATATAGTTCTTTATTTTTTTTTATTTTTTTTTTTTAAATTTTTTTTTAATGTTTTTTATTTATTTCTAGGAGAGAGAGAGAGACAGCATGAGCAGGGGAGGGTCAGAGAGAGAGAGAGTCACAGACTGAAACAGGCTCCAGGCTCTGAGCTGGCAGTCAGCACAGAGCCCGATGCGGGGCTCGAACCCACGAACCGTGAGATCATGACCCAAGCGAAAGTCGGACACTTAACCGACTAAGCCACCCAGGCGCCCCTATAGTTCTTTATTTTTGTTTACTATATAATCATGTAGATATCATACTGTAGTTCAATCAAGGTATTCCATTATATACATCTGAATTTATCTGACCAAAATATGAAAAAAAATTAAAGACTAATGAGTACATGATCAATATATATTAAGAGACTCAAATCAATGTGAACTAGGCACGAGTGGTTTTTTAGAACCAATGTTCTAAATATTTTCATTCTGGTGACAACCAAGAAGAGAAAGCAAAACCTGTTTAATTTCTGGCATGAAAAAGATCCAGAAAAAAAGAGGTTAATGTTTTGTGCTGTATTATCAATTCCAAATTATAACAGTAGTAACTCCAACTGAGGCTTTAGAAACACTGAAATTACTCAGTATTTTTCCTGTTCAGTCTATATGTCTGATCTAGTTATCAATGATAGGGTCCAAAAGTAAGTTTTATAAGCACAAAACATACTCAAAACTCAAATTCTAAATAAAAATGTTATAATACTAGAGCTCAGAAGTTTGCTGAATTGGACACTCTGTAACTGCCAACCAACAACTTCATTTTTATTAACAGTGGTAATAAAGCTGTGCTGTTTTACTAGCTAATAATATAAGCTGTAAGCATGATGGAAACAATGTATAATTTAAAGAAAAAAGTACCTTCATTTTTCAAGTGACAGAAATATCCAATTTCCCTAATCTTCAGACAGAGCCTACCTTCTCATCTCTGGTAGTTATTTGGGTTTAGAGTTCATCAGGATTTGATAAAGACCCTGTCAAAATGTGTGTGTGTGTGTGTGTGTGTGTGTGTGTGTACATAATGGCTAAAGACCCAACCTACTGTTGTTTATAAAATGTTTAATTAGAATCCTTCGTATAGCCCTAAAATGAAATATCCTGTTGGAATAAATAAGACTTTAGGACTTGATGACTATACTCAGATGGAAATTGTTTAGTGAGATACAGTGTGCCTAGTCCTGCCACTTTAAAAAGCTCATCTCCTACTCACATATGAGAAATTTAAGCTTGTTATATTTTATTCATGAACAGTACTGACTGAACAAGAAGACTTTAGATCATATAAACACCATGATTATGGCTGTCAATAAAAGATCCAAATTAATTAATTTTCTCAAGTTCTTTCTATATATAAACATAAGTTTAAATTCAGAAATAAATGATACAACCTGTAACTTGAAATACATCAGTGAAAAAAAGATATAATGTACATAAATTTATGAGTATATGAATAGATAAACATATGCACATGTGGTATGCCATGGGACATCTTTCCTTTTAGGTACTGAACAAACAAGAATTTTGCATTTTATCCCTTTGCTACCTCTCTCAAATAAACAAGAGCCTGAAATATTTGCTATGTCTTACTATGAGCTTATCGCTTCCCTTTAATGATCTTCATAAGTGAAAACATAAATACTGAACAATAGGCATGTTGGGAGAAACAAGGAATCAAACAAATTTACAAACCCTCATTGACGATACCAAAACCCTCAACTGATGCCAAAACAGCAAGGACCTGAGGAAGAACTGAGAGAAGTGAGGTAACCCTCTACAGGCAGTGAAGTGGAGGTAACCCTCCACAGGCAGTAATAGCTGAGCGGCTACAGAGGAATCCAGATGCAATAGCTGATAAAATGAATCTGGTACTCTAGGATATTTCTAGGTACTAACAAGGACACAAGTTCACAGGTATTAATGGGATTTAAGGGCTCTACTTAAAAAGGTTTTGGGTATATAGAGCATATATATCTAAAGGAAGGGCTCCATGAGCCAAATATACTTCAGCCTGAGTTTATTCTATCTTAAGGCAAAACACTTAGCTCCATTACCTATTCTTTTGTAGTTAAGAGTTAGCTGAAGTCTGAAATGAAAGAAATATTACTCTCTTTTCTGTGAAACAGTAATAATCTTGGCAAATTAAGATTCCATTGTTAAAACTAGTGGCTAAAACATCCAATTTATTTAAGCATATTGCTTATACTTAAATAAATAGATGGAAAAGTGGCTATTCCATTAATAGCATAATTTTATTTATCAAATGTGGTACAGCAGTTGATCGTGCTTTTTTTCTACAGTAGACAAAACTTGTGCAAACCTAGAGTTTTTGCTGACCACTGGAATTTAGTTATGTTAACAATCCACCATGATCTGAGGCACTTTTGGCAACCATGGGATCAACAAATTAAGTAAAATGACATATACTGGACAACTGTACTGGTCCAATGCCAGTAAGTAAATATCTGGGAGAATTCTCTTTCAATTTAACAACCAGATTTCTTTAATAGTCTCCTGATGTTTATCAAGAATCCAAGTAAGATCTGCATTTGAAAAATAGCAAGAAAATTTCATTAAGTTTTGAGTTTAAATTATGTTCATCAATTTTGTATTGGTTACCAAGAAAACATGTCTCCTTAAAATTAAAGGTTGTATTTTCACAGATGTAAGAACAAAAGATACGCCTTGATCACTGTGGCTGCCAAAAACTGACCAAAGATTTTCTGTGGTGATTTCATTTTTGAGAAAACAAACAGTTGTGAATTTCATTGACCTTTTAAGACTGATTTCTCAATATGCATACTGTAGCAAATACAAAGTAATCCACTTTTCAGAAGTTTGATGAAATGAGCAGAATGCTTGAGTTCAGAAGTTTGGTGAAATGAGCAGAACGCTTGAGTTGAGATAACAAGCAATGCTACATTTACTGAGTGTTTAGAAGGTCCCTCGTATGGCCAATCAAGCAGAATAGCTGATACACAGAGAAGTCCTCAAAAACAGCGGTCACCATAACCTTTTACTAATTTTTCAAAAATGACTAGTACATAGATGCTATACCACAAAACTAAACCATGCTTCATCTATTTTTCTCAAGCATTATAAAACTAAATTCCTATTTTCAATATTGTAAAAAATAGACTTGTCTTTTCCAAAGGATCCTGCTGTCCACATTGATGGATGTGTGCATTCCCTCTCATTACTGACCCTACAGATATAAATTATTTTTATCATTCCTTAAATCAAGTCTTACATAAAGTTGCATAACGCATGGAGTAAAAGAGGAATGAAAACAAAGCATGGAACCCTGTATAAGTGTGCTGACCCAAAAGCAATTACACCAACAGCCAGAGGAAGTGGAAATTGTGAAGTAGTCTTCAACAATTTACTGTAAAGAGACAGAGAAATATACATTATACAAACTACCTTGTAGGCAAAACCAGAATATGATGATCTTTTATACAGTTTTGAGGAAGTATTCTACATGGTGTTAGATGAAGCAATTTTTCATATAATTAATTTAACCATACATAATTTTTAAAAAGATCAATACAAGCTATATCTTAGCCAGAGAAATATACTAGCTGGACTTTTATTCAGCAATTCTACCTCTAAAAATTTACCCTTAGAAAAATAAGCAACATTTACTAAGACATAGCCATAGAAATATTTTGTTTAACCCAACAAAACAAAAACCCTCAACCAAATAAAAAGGGAATGATCCTTAATTCCTAACAGGACCAGTATTAAAACAACACTAAATCTTTTTAAAAGAAAAGGTTATTACTTTTTTATTCTGAAAACAAAAAAAAACTAGGAAAAGAAGGGTTAAAGCAATTTGTCTAAGGAAACAGGGCTATTAAATGGCAGAGCAAGATTTAAACCCCAGGTCTGCCTTATTCTAGAATATATACGAACATCTGCCAAAGTCAACTGAAAACAGGCTCCTAGTGCAAACAACCAGGAATGAAAAGTCACATTTTATTATGGAGAACTTTAAACATATACATAAGTGAGCTAAATGTATAATGAACCTCATGTACTCATCACCCCACTTCAAAAAGTATCAAGTGATGGCCAATCTTACTTCACCTATAATCCTATCCACTTCATTAATTCTGTACTTTTTAAAAAAGTTTGTTTATTTTAAGAGAGAGTGAGCAGGGGAGGGGTAAAGAGAGAAGGAGAGTGGGAGAATCCCAAGTAGGCTCCATGCTGTCAGCACAGAGCCTGACTTGGGGCTCGAACCAGTGAGATCATGACCTGAGCCAAAATCAAGAGTAGTCACTCAAATGACTGAACCACTCAGGTGTCCCTCCTTCTGTACTTTTCAGAAACAAATCTTATTAGACATCATACATTTTAAGGGCTAAATTTAAAAAAACACACATTATTATATGTAAAACCCATAATTAAGAAAACAAATATAGTACTTGCATATAAACTACATCTACATAAAACCATAATTACTATACAGTTATAGCTTTAACTTTAGGAACAGTCAAAATAATTAGAAATAACATGTTTCAGGCATCAAAAACTAGGAAGAGATACGAGAAAAAGAAAAGATTGAACTACTGTACCTGGATTTTATTGAAATAGTGTGAGTATTTCCAAGAATTGCCATAGTTGGAATAAGGATAAATGCCAAAGGTTTACATGGATCAGGACTAAGTTTAAAGTAATACCTATATCGAAGAGAAAAAAAAATCATCAAAGTACACTTAATCATTTCAAATTATCAAAATCAAACAAATTAATTAAATTTCAGAATATTTCATAGATATGAGAGCTCTAAACAGCTCATGAAATTCCTGATAAATAATTTTTTGCTACAGATCATCTTCATACCTGAGGTTTTATATGGAGAATTATGTTCAGAAACTACTAAAGGAAATGAAAATATCCATGTGACGGGGAGGGGCAGGAAGAGAGGGGGACAGAAAATCCCAAGCAGGCTCCGCACTTTCAGTTTGGAGCCCAATACAGGGCTTGATCTCATGAACAATGGTATCATGACCTGAGCTGAAATCAACCGACTGAGCCACCCACACACCTCAGCAATTCCTTAATAATAGTTATAGGAGTATCTGGGTGGTTTAGTAGGTTCACTGTTGACTCTTGGTTTCAGTCAGGTCATGATCTCGTGGTTCCTGAATTGAAGCACCACACAGGGCTCTGCACTGACAGTGTGGAGCCAGCTTGGGATTGATACTCTCTCTCTCTCTCAGTCTCTCTCAATATAAATAAACTTAAAAAAAATTTAATAGGTATATGTATGTCTGAAAGGTCATACAGAAATAATGTTTTTATAAAACAAATTATTTAAAATATATTAAAGCTGCTCTAGTTTAAAAGAAGACAAAAGTGAAGATTTCTATAAAGCAATTGTCCCTTATTTTCTTTTAAATCCAAATTCTCATCTCTGGCACTTACTGACAGTGAGACATCTATTTCAGAATCATAAATTTATGATCCTCAAATAATTTTCTCCCGAGACTTGTGAACAAAAAAAATCTGCATCTTGACTAAAATTAAGCACAAAGGATGACTATTAACATCTGGTAACTTGCTGATTTAATGTATCAAACTCTGACTTTTCAAAACATACACTTCTAGTATTTAGATAATTTGAAAATTTTATATTATTTCTGAAAACTAAGAGTAGGAGTTCAATTATTGGATGAGGTGGTCTATTTTTCAAAAACAAATTATAACTAAATATTCTAGAAACAGTCTTAGAGGGCATTTTCAGACTCTGATTTAAACTAGAACAATTACCATGTGGTAAGGCAAATGATGGTCATTTATTTTAGTTCAATGTTTGGTGCTCATTAGAAAAGTACACTTTTCTTCATTATTTCTAACATTTTTAAATGTAAGCATTTTCTTCCTCACTCTTATGTTTAAGAAAACATAAAACTGTTCATGAATTGAAAAATACTTGAAGCACTAGCATTATGAATACCTTGGTTCAGCAAAACAAAGCACATTTTCACATACGTCTAGACACACAGAAGATTAAAGGTAAAATAAAACATGATTCGCTCTTTTGGGCAGATTTTGAGGAAGTTTATATTCCCAAAGTTGATATTCTCACAGTAAGGGAAAAATTGTGAATATACTGAAAATAAATTTCAGGTGATACATAGCTTCCTGCTCTTGAGGAAGTATTATGAATCGTTAGGAATCTGAAGTCTCTACTTCCAGATATTTATTATTTGAACCACATACATTATAATTATATAAATAAAACGCACCTGAGATTCTTTAACCAGTAAATTAAAGATGGCATGCTGAGTAATACAATCCATGTTAATAAGTTAATCACAGTATTGTGCATGCGAAGACTATCTTCAGCATCATTGGCAGATAAATGAAGATAATGTACCGAAGAGTCTTTATGGTGATTTGATTTTTTTTCATTTCTCCTAGAGTGCTTGAGATTCTATAAAACAATAAAGTAAAAATAAGGTATTACGTAAAATTTATTATTTTGCTTAGAAACATTCCATTATTTAATGGCAAAATAAACACATCTTTCTATTACCAAACAGATAGAAAATACTGAAATTACTTTGCTCAAAAGTAATTTAAAGTGGTTATCATTATAAAACTTTTGTTCCTTTGACTTGCTATTTCCACTGCTGAGAATATATCTTCTAGGTAACTACTTAAAATTTAAAAGATAATTTGTAAAAATAAAAATTACATTTATTGAAAAAGACCAATTTAAAATTAGACAATCTAATTTCTAGGTTCAGTTATCTTAAAGTTACTTAAATTCATGACATCTTTTTAAAACACTGTAAAATACTAACTTAAAAAAATACAAAATGATGTTTTTCATTTCCCCATGTTCTTTTATACTACAGTGATGTAGAGCTTTGAAAATAAAACTTACCACCGCCTGGCCATTTTTAAAAGTTGTTAGGCTGGCTTGCAGATGAACAATCTAAGAAAAAGAAAAAACAGTTTAATTTCATTTTTACTTTGTTTTTTTTTTTTGTTTTTTTGTTTTTTTTACAAATAGTTTATTGTCAAATTAGTTTCCACATAACACTCAGTGCTCATCCCCACAAGTGCCCTCCTCCATGCCCATCCCCCCTTCCCCCCACATCCATCAGTCCTCAGTTTTTGTCAGCATTCAAGAGTCTCTCATGGTTTGCCTCTCTCCCTTTCCCCCACCATTTCCCCCCTTCTTCTCCCCCTTGTTCCTCCGTCAAGTTCCTCCTAATCCTCCTATACGTGCAAACATATGGTATTTGTCCTTCTCTGCCTGACTTATTTCGCTCAGCATAACACCCTCAAGGTCCATCCATGTTGCTACACATGGCCAGATTTCATTGTTTGTCATTGCCATGTAGTATTCCATGGTATAGATAAACCACATCTTCTTGATCCATTCATCTGTTGATGGACACTTAGGCTCTTTCCATGTTTTAGCTATTGTGGAGAGTGCTGCTATGAACATTGGGGTACACGTGCTGACTGTCAGCTCAGAGCCTGGAGCCTGTTTCAGAGTCTGTGACTCCCTCTCTCTCTGACCCTCCGCTGCTCACGCTGTGTCTCTCTTTCATTTTTACTTTGAAACAAAAAAACATTTTATTACAATTGAGAAGCATTATAATCTCAAATTTAAAGAAATCTAGAAAACTAAAAATACTTCTCAATACTTTCCAAATTTCCTTTGGAAAATTGAAAATAATCTATAATGTGCATGTATTAGTGTTAAAAAACAGATGTAAATAAACTTTGTTCAAAAAAGAAAAAAAACATAATCCATTCTATTATCAACTGTCTCTACAGAAGACTAATGAGGAAAGTATGCAGTTGTATAACCTAGATTTTCCTGCAAAGCTGTCAGCCTTCTTGGAGTGTTTTTTCTCCTTCTCAGTAAAACCATCAGACTAATTATTTTCTCCCTGTCTTCTGATTCTTTAGCAACCTCTGTTAACATTCTACATTATCTCAGTACATTTGATAGCTTGATCTCACTGACATAATTTTTTGTTTACTATCCATAATCAAAGAGGTATGAATAAAAACTGCTCTAGTAAAATATTTTTTTAAAAAGCTAACATTGCTTGCAAGAGCAAGAAGCAATGTGAAACAGGTTATATTTTCTTCCCCTTTTTTAAAATACACTAACCAAACTCAGATTAATAATTTCAGCTTTACAGTTAACTACATTTTTTAAATAACTGAGATATTTTAAAAAACCTTCTACACTTAAGCCTGTTAGAGAATAGAAGGTTACTACAGCTGTAATTAAAATTTTTGTTAACACCAAAGGAAATTCTATGCCTGCCTGACCCAAAGCCCAGCCATTCTGACTTCAGTGATGTGACATACCTTAAACACATAATAAAGATAAGTAAGAAGTATGGCAAATGCTCCACAAGTTGTCCAACTAACTATGATCAAAATAATTGTCAAAAAGGGCAAGTCTGGTGATACCATCTTGATATCTTTAGGAAGTTCAGGGGGCCTGGAAAAAAACAAGAATAAAGCTTTTACAAGTATGTTTAACAGTTACTTATATGGTCACATATAAGAAGAAAACAATTCAGTACTCTCCCAGGTCCTCCTGCTTCTTAGTATGCAAGTACCATAAGGTAAGCAGTAAAATATTTTTCCATAAAGGCAAGGGATGACACATATTTGATTGTAAATTCTATAATACTCTGTGATAGCTCCTCTTTCACTTAGATACTATGGCTGATACTTATACTAACAATGTTGCTACAAAGAATCATTAATTATAGGCCTTGTGCCATGTATTTCTGATCTTGATAAGAGGAAAAATAGTTTTCTATTTCTTAAAGTCTCAAGATCACTCAGACAATGTGATGCTATTAGTGTCAAAAGCATCTCAGAAGGGTGAAGGAAGAAGAATCAGACCATAACCCCTCTATGACAGTAAATCATGTAACATGTCCGGTGAGGAGCAATGGCAATGGAAACTAGGTCAGCGGTTTATTAGAAAAGCCTACCAGTAACTTCAAACTGTGTCTCAGAACCCGTAATAAAACTCTAGGCAATGTTTTTGGAGTTTTTATGCATTTCATCTAATATGACCTTAAATATCTTGATTGGAATCTACTGCCCTCAGGTTTGACTGAAAGTTAGCATATACAAGCATTGCCAGAGAAACACTTCTTCCCTGGAAAGTTTTACAACCATAAAAATTAAAACCACGTAATTCTGTAATCTGTCACGTTTTTTTTTAAAGTAATGTCAACCCACATGTGTGGCTCTAACTCATGACCCTAAGCTCAAGAGTTACACACTCTACCAACTGAGCTAGCACAGCATCCCTCTGTCAAACTTTTTTGATTAACTCTTGGCAATAAGGTCAAACTCATATATAGCATTTAACTTGCAATAATATTTTTTAATAAAAGTTTTATTTAGATATAACTTTGAACATTAACCCATGTTTTTATAGTCATACATCTTTCCTTAGAAATTATAGTTTAGTGAAAGCAAATTAAATTTGAGGATCCCTATCAAATTATAATTTTTTACTTAAGAGCAATGAGAAAGCTTTTAGTCATTCTTTACCTTTTGAAAACTAGCCATAATGAAGAAAGGAGTCTCACAGATGTAGAAGAAAGCAGACCACCCCAGTAGGCAGTACATGTTCCAAACAAAAAGAGAATCAAGGATACCAGGGGAAAACACATACTCTGACTAGTTAAAACGATGGCATCTAATTCTGGCAACAATAACAAATCCCATAATTCCTTAAACCATTTATACCTGTGGATAAAAGAAAACATTCAATAAAGGCAAAAAAAAAATTCAACAACTGACATTCAAGTATTTAGTATCTGAGGTGTTTGACCATTTAGAGAGTCCCCAAAGTTCAATGATACTCAATTCACAATTATACTGGAAAACAAATTTCAATTCTTTGTAGAGAACAAGTCATGTATCTTCCAAGTAAGTCTACTGATCTTCAAGGAGCTGAATCCTAAGTCTCGATAGAATTCTACTGCCCTATATTGATCGTTGTAATGAAGTAACAAGTGATCTTTTTTTAAAGTTAGAAAATCAACAATAATTGTAATGACAGAAGAAAAGAGATCTTAACCAAAAACCCACAAAATGTGAATAAAAATGGAATGTTAAGTGTGGTAGAGAGATCCAAAATATACTTCTATGGGGAGAAAAAGTGATCTGAGACACCATTTCATCAATACCCTGGTTTGTGGTCATGAATCTGGGATACTCAGAGATCATGGACCATGTACATCTGTTTGCAAATGTTAAAAGTCTGGTATATTTACAGACTAAGTTTCTACAATTGATATATACATATAATTTTAAACCTTTGAATTGGTTATAGTATTAAAGTAAATGTTGATATACACATTAGGCCTTTGCCTAAAAGAAAAATCCCATTTAATAAAACATATTTATGAAAATTTATATTACATTATGGGGCCAAACATGTTTTATGTATATAAAACAATTAAAATAATTTTCACAGATAATAAAACTTACCCCAACAGGAACTTAATCATAAGTACAAAAGGATCGACTTTATATGGCTTGGCTTCTTTATCTAACATAGTTGCATATTCTAAGCAGTGACCTGGTGATTAAAAAAAATTGTATGTAGTAAAGAATTCATAGTGATCAAGTATAGACTTATACACTGACTGCACTATCTGTAAGAGCAGCACATTTCTTCTTAGAATGCAAGGGTCATTACTATCAAAAAGACTTTCTTCAAGAGTTTAAAAATTAATGTAATTCAATAGATTTCATATAAAAGGACACATTCAATCACTTGTGAAAGAGCTTCAGGAAGCCAAAGCTCAGTTTCACCATTTGTATTTTCACAAAGCTACAAAGGTGATTAAAAAAAAAAAAAAAAACAACACCAACAACTCTACGGAGATATAATTCTTATACCACACAATTCAAAGTATATGCAATTCAGTGGTTTTTAAGCATTCACAGATATGCCTTCCTCACCACAATCAGTCTTAGAATATTTTATTACTTCCAGAACAAACTTTGTTCCCCTTAACTGTCACCTCCAATGTCTGTCTCCCTATTCCCAGGCAACAACTAATATACTTTCTGTCTTTATAGGCTGGCCTATTCTGAACATTTCATACAAATGAAACCATGGAGTATGTGGTCCTTTGTGATGAGCTTTCACTTGGCATGTTTCCAAGATTCATCCACACTGTAGCACATATTATTTATCCATTTATCAGCTGACGGATATTTGCGTTGTTTCCACTTTTTGGGATACTATTAATAGTGCTCTTGTGAACATTTATGTACAAATTTAGTGTGGGTGTATGTTTACATTTTTCTTGGGTATATAACTAGGAGTATCGTTCCTGAGTCATAGTGTAGCTGCCAGACTACTCTCCAAAACACCTATACCATTTTACATTTCCAAAAACAGTGTATGAAGGTTAAAATGAATACTAAAGGCAGACTTGAAACTGTAAGTTATTGGAATGAGCGGCTGCAGAAGGATTTGGCAAGACGGAGATGGTGGAGGATATTTTTGGACTACTTTTACATATTTTGGTCCCACTCTCTCCCTATCTCTTACTATCCAAGTCCAAAAGTGTGTGAGGGCTTTACAAAGTAGGCTCCTGGGAAACTATTCTAATTGCTATAGACTGGGAAAGGTTTTGTGCAATGTAGTATATATTCTGTATTTGACTCTCCAGATCCATTCCATCTCTACCCTTTACTTTGCTCTGAATTCTGGGAGGCTGACTTCAGTTCAGTGAATAATAGGCCCTGGAAAATAAGGAGAAATAAAGTAAGTGTATTTATTTCCTGCCTTTCTTCCTGCTGACAGTGGCTAGAGCTGCAAGTAATGCTGCCCTCTCCTATAGCTCTCTCTAGGCTTGCTCCCTCTCTTGCCCTAGTCCTGAGGAATATCAGATGGCTCTGTTGCTAATCTGGCACATTATCATTTCTTATTGGTTTCCCTTAAACCATCACACATCTTTCAAATAGTCCCTTCATTAAAATACACTCTCATTTATTCCATTCAGTGTGCCAGGACCCGATACAACCCAAACATTACACTGAATACCTATTGTGTACTTGACACTAAGTTAGGCACCAGGAATGGGATGGAGAACAAAATCCCCATCACTGAGACTCTACCTCTTAAGACATCCTCAGAAGAGAGGGAAAAACTTCAGACACAAAAGTATAAAATGGAAAAGCCCAGTAAGGAATCTTCTTGGGTATTTCCTAAAAATAGAGGATCTCAAACCCTTGTAAACTTAAGAGATGGGTTGTGAATCTTCAAGACATTGAGGTATTCCTTAACCACATGAGAGATAAATAAATAGAAATGAAGCACTGAAGAAGAGAGGAGAAATAGAAACATTCTTACCTGTTGAGAAAAGAGAGTGTAACTGTCCTCCATAAGCAAGAAGGATACTAGATATAACATAAGCAGGAAGAGCTCCACCATGAAATCTAACTATCTAGAAAACAGGAAAATCAAAGGGTAACTTTTGAATATTCATGTTAATGAAATAAATGTACTTTCACAAGAAATAAAAATGTCTTTATTCACTTTTTATCCTTCCTGACATTGCCACCGAGGTATACTTCAGTGACGGGTACCAAAACTCTAAGTAAAATAAATGTTAAGAATATACAGCATGTTAGAAACATGTTATCAGAATTTTTCATAAAGGCATTAACAAAAATATATATAATTGAGCAGCATAGGCTACAAACTTTTTTTACAAGGTACATTTAGTGAACATTTATTTAATGTTTCAGGCTTGATACTAAACATTTTATATGCATTATCTCATGCTCTCCTCCCATAAATCCTGAGGTAATTCTTATCCCTATTTTATAGATGTAGAAATTCAGGCACAGGGAGCCCAAGTAACTTGCACAATTAAAAATGTAAAAGACAATCAAATTGTTAACTCTTAATGTTCTCATCAGTAAGATGGAGGCAACAGCAGTACTTAACTTATAGGTGTTTTAAGGTTTAAAGATGTTCATTTTTATAAAGCATTTAGAATATTAAACATGATAAGCTATCAGAAAACATTAGTTATTACAGACATGCCTCATTTTATAATTTTCTTCACTGTACTTTGCAGATTAAAAAAATTATTATTATTTTTTTTTACAACTTGAAGGTCTGTGGCAACTGGCACTGAGGAAGTTTACTGGTGATATTTTTCCAAAAGAATTTGCTCACTTTGTGTCTGTGTCACTTTTGATAATGCTCATAATATCTCAAACTTTTTCATTATTATAATGATCTATGATGATTAATGACAACTCATGGAAAGCTCAAATAATGGTTAGCATTTTTTTAGCAATTAAGGTTTAAAAATAAATGTATGCATTTTTTTTCGACATAATACCACTGCACACTTAATGGTCTACAGTATAGTGTAAACATAACCTTTATATGTACTTTTATATCACTTGAGTTGCTCTATTACAACACAATTATTGTGGTAGAATTGAATTCACGACTTCAAGGTATATGCCTGTCAATATTTCTTAAACAGAAAGCTTTTAAAAGGGGGAAAATTGAGCTCTTTTTATGTACTTGGAACTAAAGTTAAAAATTATTCATAGATAAATGACTATGAAAATCTAATTTATTTGGTCTTTCCCAATTTAGAAAGTATACCATCTGTGTATTGCACTCAGTGTGCTTGGCTCTGGGATTATAAGGGTGAGCAATGTCTAAAGAGTTTACAATGTAGTAACTTTGCTGTAATCTCATTAACAATTTAACACTCAGTCTCATTAGGTGCTTTAACTTCAAAGTCCTGGAGTTCTAAGGAAAGATGATGCAATAGAATTCCAGAGTATTCATTTACTCACTTAGCCACTAACATTTAAACAAATCCAAGTCTCACCCTCAAAACAGTGACAACACCTTCCCTTCACTCTACTCCCCTTCCCTCTCTAGTTACTGCCTTTTTCTTCCCTGTCTCTCATTACTAAACTTCTCAAGAGCTTGATGTACTATCTCTCCTCTTTATCTACTCACTCCTAATCTTTTGCTTGCATCTACCAAAATAACACTAATGCTCCATGGACCCTTTTTCTGGGGTATGCCTGTATTAAACTTCTAGGTCCTTCAGTGTCTTTATAAATTGTGTGGAATGGGATTTAACCCAAAGCCTAAATTCATAACCATTATGTTAGTGCCTCAAGACATCTTATCAGCTGATCTAATTTCTATAAAAATATATAGATAAAACAAAAGTGTTAAATTCTTTTAATGTTGAAGTTTTATTTTTTTCAGCATAAAAAATTTATTCTGCTCTGTAAGCATCTTTTAATATTGAAGTTTTAAAAGGAAATTAAAGCATGTTCTCCATTCCACAGAATTAAAAAAAATGTATAGGCTCTCCTGGCAATCTGATGAAAGCTACAGAAATGCATGTTTAAACAAAACGGCATGTAAAATTTCAAGAAGTTCAAGGTGCCCCTGAACCTCCTTCATGGATTTACAGGTGAAGATTAGAAACACTCAGAAAAACACTTATTGTCCATACTCATAATTTACAATTATAGCTTTGAGTGGAGGGAGAAGAGTTGAGCAAAAGGGAAAAGGTCATTTTTCTATTACTAAGTGATACCCAATGCCTGCTAATGACATGCTGGGAAATATATACCATTCTTCACTTATCAATAATAGAAGCAAAGTTAGGCAGCATCCAGCCTTAGAGTCAGACTCCAGGGTTTAGACTACAGCTCTGCCTCTCACTAGCTTTGTGTTGTTGAGCAAGTTACTTTAACCTTCTTTTTCTCTATGCCTTTCTCAGTAAAATGGAGATAAACAGTATTTACCTCACAGGGAGTTTGAGGCTTAAATGTGTTCATCTGTATAAAGTATTTGGAATAGTAACTGGTACAGGTAGGTGGATCAGAAAATACTGGCTGTTATTAATAACTTTTAATGTTCTTCACTGTCTTTGGAAATCTTCTAAGACTTCCTATACAGTATTCTGAACATAACAGTTCTTTGTAGTGGCTGTCATTGAGTATTAAGTATTATACTGGGTCACAGATACAGCTCATATAAAGTATAATCCAACAATCCTAAACTGGTTTCCATGGGTCATATTTAAATCATAGACATGATTCATTTGGTTTAGTATTTGGCCCAGTATTTCTTTACACTTCAAATTAGACGCCAACATTAACATTTTTTTTAATCTAAAAATCCAGACTTCACTTATCTTAAAACCTAAACATCTGGCAACATTAGACTTCATTCCTATACCAAAATGATTTACTAATTTATATAATTCTCTTGAGAAAGTAACTTCTGGTTTATTCCTTGTCATCTCTTTCATTAGAGTAGACTAAAGAATATGTAAATATTTTTCTCTTTCCTTTTTTTGGAAAAAAAAGTTAATTTTATGGAAAGCTGTCTAATCAAAAGCTAAAGATTCTCCCAAGCAAGGTTTCTCTTTATTCCTTTTCTCAGTCTTCTTTGAGTCAGCAACATTGAAAATATGTACACTATATATAACTTCAATTCATTTTCCTATTCTCAAGCTAAATTTTGAAACAAACATGAAGAAAGAACACCTTATATCTTTTGAGTAATCTAAGGACTAATTACCACAAATTCTTTGACATTTAAAAAAGTACCCACCGTTGATTCTGTAACACCTACATATCTTGATTTTTTAGATAAATTTCCATGTCTACACGAGAAAACTAGTGTATCCTTCTTTGGGAGACATATAATTTTGCTTTACTATCAAGTATCAAGCTAACTTGACTTTTTTTGTCACTAATCTGAATTATGAGCCATAGGGATGATATGAGTAAGAGAGTATGCCTATACCACTGTGTACACTAACATGCCTTTTGGACATACTAAAAATACAGCAGTATCAATTCTTCCCCTATATTTCAAGGCATAAATTTTCTTAATAAAGGTTCCTTAACAATCTAGAGTATTTCTTAGAACTATGATCCATGACTATTTTCCACTTTATACCAATATTTAATCTTCTCTTTCTAATGTAGCACATTTTACATAGTAACTTAGAATTTTCTAATGCTCACAAATTTAAAAATAATTACAATCTAGCTCTCACCAAGTTGCTGTGAGAATCAAATGAGATAATGCATATAAAAATTGATTTAATTTTAATTTGGAAGGCTTATAAATATAGAATGAGTTAAGTTTTAAAAATTCTGCTATGCCTGAATTACAAAACACAACACACCATAAAATAAAATAAAATTAACAGAAGGAACAATAAAATTTTAATGAAATTTATTTATTTTTAATGTTTATTTTTGAGAGATAGAGCATGAATGGGAGAGGGGTAGAGAGAGAGGGAGACACAGAATCTGAAGCAGGCTCCAGGCTCTGAGCTGTCAGCACAGAGCCTGACGTGGGCCTCAAACCCATGAACCTTGAGATCATGACCTGAGCTGAATTTGTATGCTTCACCGACTGAGCCACCCATGCACCCCAAAATTTTAGTGAATTTTAAAAGTAGTATATAATTTTTCTGACTAATCAATACTATTATTTATGTCCAGGTTATACAATTCTGTAAAGTATAATGATGTTGAATAATTTAGTAATACTACTACTTGATAAGTTATTTTTGTAACACTATTTATGAATTATACTCCCCAAAAGAATTTAAAATATTTCAACATGTTTATTTTTATTTATTCATTTGTTAAAGTTTATTTATTTTGAGAGAGTGAGCACATGTGTGAGTGGGGGAGGAGCAGAGAGAGGGAGAGAACCCCAAGCAAATTGTGCACTGTCAGCACAGAGCCCAACGTGGGGCCCACTCTCACAAACCAGGAGATCAAGACCTGAGATGAAATCAAGAGTTGGATGCTTAACCTGACTGAGCCACCCAGGGGCTGCAATATATATTTTTAATACAGTTTCCTTTTTATTTTTTACAAACTAAGCACACACAGCATAAAACGTCATTTGAAAATGTTTGTTTATATAACACAGCCTAAAATTTTATTGGACTTATATTGACTTATAGCACAGTATGAGCAACATAAAATCTTAACATGACATTAATTTAGCCAAAAATATTAGTTTGTTTGAAAATCAGGAATCAGCTCTCAATTCTTAGGAATGAAACCATCACCTTAAAGCCAGAGGTGGCCAACTATGACCTATCTATGAAGAATGGTTTTTGGATTGTATTAAAGCAGAAGAAAGAAGGAAAAGGAGAAAGATGGGAAAAAAAAAAAAAGAAGCAACTGTAGCAGTAGTAGCAGCAAGAGACCATATTTGGTATGTTAAAATATTTTATTATCTGGCCCTTTTACAGGAAGAGTTTGCAACCTGTGCCTTATAGTATCTATTCACAAGGCAATCAATAAATCAACCAGATATCTCTTACCTGTCCAAGTATTTGTGAAAAGGAAGTCTTAACTGTCACCTAGTTTAAAATAATTGTAAGAAAAGAAGTTATTTCTCCTAAGCCCTTCTAGTTCACATTTTATTAAAATGAACAATTCTGCACATCTCTAAGCATAATTGCTAATTTATTTATAATGACCAACCTAAAGGCACTTATGGTCTTAAAAGAATCCTCTGATCCAGAAATTTTAATTTGTAATAAGTGTAGTTCTATTGTTCAATACATTTTCCTATATTCTAGTTCTTTGATAATTGGCTGAATGCTATGGTACATGTGGTAGGTAACCCTTTACTAACTAAAATTTTTGATTCACCTGAATATCTTAGTACCAGGTCATACAATCTAAAGCAATTTACTGATTGAGTCCAGAAGCTATACATATGTATGCTGAACAATGAAGCACAAATTTACCTACTACACAACTAATATTTTAAAAATCTAAAACCTTAACTGTGCAGCCCTAAGTGTAGTTAAGCTAAGCCACTTCTGAGTAAATTTCATAAAAACAAGTTTCACCTGATATAAGACTAGGAAAAATGGAGTACATTTGGTAAAATTTAAGCCAAAACAATGTATTAAAAAGAAATTCATCACTAATTATCTCTATTATAAATACACCCTTTTTGATATTAACAAGTTTGGGAAAAGGAGATATGTATGTTATATGGAAATTATGGAATGACTATTCATAATACTTTAAAAATGTAAAATAGTTATAAAAACATTGATATTTTGAAAGTGCAGTATCTGGAGCCAAGTTATTATGCAATTCTCACTATCACGATTAGAACTATGAAGACACATGTTAAAAACCATTACACCCCTACAAAATCTTTCAATGTTAAAAACAAGGAAGCTACCAAACCATTAATAAATTCCATGAAATCTAAAGTAACTCCTAATTTAGGTTCAACTGAAATTTGTTGCTACAAACAGATTCCATGCATTTAACCTACCAATTCTAGTTTACCCAAGAAAGTCAGTTCAAATGAAGAATCAAAATAAGGTTGATTTAAACGAATTTAATAGAAATAAGATATTTCACATAAACCAGAAACCAGCATTAAATGTATATGTACTTCAATCCCTTAAGCCTGGAATCCTTAAAACCTGACACATTCAAATACAGAGGGACTCTTGTAGTTCACGAATCCATAAAGGTAAATGTTACTTAAGTCTATTTCCCTTCTCTTACATCAGAGATCTGCTGATTACAAAACAAACAAAATAGGCACTACACTGCTCATTAATGGCTAACATTTAAAAAGCTAATTAAAAGGAAAAAAGATTCTTAAGTTTATCCAATAGAGCTGGAAACCAATATACATCATGTCAATTACTGCAGCAAAGCCGTGTCAGCTGATTTCGTGATGTTCTTTAATTTACAGAGGATTCTGGACTTTGGGTTTCTAAATTTAGAAGGTTAATCTACAGTCTCAATTTTTAGTTTATTTTCTACTACTTATTAAAATGTATACTTTCAAGGGTCCAGCTAGGAAGATACTGAGGTGGTGCTAACAGGCAAAACACAGAATATTTAAAGCATCATAAGTGTCTATTTTGTATATTTATTAGCTTCCATGTTGCCATATTTGAGACTAATATAAAAATATATTTCCTATTTATTCTATAACTAAATCTTAAAAAGTAAGCAAACATAAACTTACTTCATACTGACAGTCTGAAGATGTGTACATTTTTAATAATGCTACATGACTGTCATTTTCTGGTTGAGCAATATGGAGTTTCAGAGAAATTTCTGTGGAAGATGGTACCCTGAAAAGATAATTGAAATATAATTTTCAAATATAAACTGCTGTTAACTAACCATTGCTAAGTCAATCCTCACACAACACAATGAAATATTGGAGAGAATGACACATATCAGATACACTATTAAAAATGGGACACTTTTCTAATCCTATCACAGTTGTTTGCTCATTACTCTAGGATAGAAGTTGAGGATAGTCTAGGAAGGGGTTGATATTCCAAGCAAGTAAGGTTTAAATTCTAGATTATTTAGATAAGAATACTACATTATCTTATGAGCACAATGCTACATAAAGGATAGTTACATTTTATTAAGAAGCACTTAGTTTCATTAAAATTTCACTATGATTTAGATAAAATAAGCAGAATATGTATTATTCAAAAACATCAAAGTTTAAGATAAATTCATATACTCACTGTGCAATAGTTAGAGAATCTTCATAAGACCAAGGAATATGAAGTTTATAGATACTAGTTATTTCTTCTGTGAAAACATAAATGAAATATGTTACTAACCTTATGTTACATTAAATGTTACATAAACTACAATAATACCTAATTACAGTTACCATTTCATAAAAAAAAAAACCCAGTAAGAATTGTATGACATAAGAAATTATATAGAGAATTATTAACTAATACTATTTAATCAGACCTAAAAAAGATATTAGAGCATATGGGAAGTACTAAAAAACTGAAAAAAGAAAACCCCTAAATCTGAGTTACTACTATTGTGAGGTAGAAAGATATATAGTATTTTTAAAAATGTGATTATTTAACTTGATACATTTGAAGATGCTTAGTGTTAAGAAAGGGTCTATGTTAAATTTGTTGGAAACATAAACAGTTTTTCTATCATATATTTAATTTTAATTCACATAAATACATAAAATAATAAGCACTACAGAAAATTCAAGTTAAGACCTATTGATTCTTCAAATGACAATACTGTTCTTCTCAGAAAATACACTTACCTTTGACTCCCGAGCACTTGCTTACTATGTTGATTTTAAAAGCTTGGTATATCTAATAAGCGTTTGATCATGAAAACAAAAAAAAAACAAAAAAGTTATTTGTTTGCTTAATTAAATAGTAAAGTAAAATCAAATCCTTGTTATAATCAGGATAATTACCTGTCCAAAGTTTAGAAGTTCTATATTATAAAACAGGCCACTTGTATTTAATAACACTTTCCTTGAAGAGAGTCCTGTTGAATTGAAAGCACTGTTATTACTTAGAACATAAAATAATTTTTTTTCAAGTAACGATTGCTTAATATTGCTTAAATAATGCTAACAAATAATGCTAACTTTTTTTAAAAAAATATTTTTTATTTATTTCTGGGAGAGAGAGAGAGAGACAGCGTGAGCAGGGGAGGAGGGTCAGAGAGAGAGGGAGATACAGACTCTGAAATAGGCTCCAGGCTCTGAGCTGGCAGTCAGCACAGAGCCTGACGCGGGGCTCAAACCCACGAACCGCGAGATCATGACCTAAGCGAAAGTCAGACGCTTAACCAACTAAGCCACCCAGGCGCCCCTAATGCTAACATTTTTAATCTTAAAAGAGTTTAAAGATTTTCATTTCTGGTATGGAAGAGTAAACTCCTAAAAATCCTATTCTCTTTCAATAAACGGGACTACATTTAGAAGTATTTATTTTAAAAATGTTTAAGTTTAAATTAATATTTTAAATTAAATGTTTAATTTATTTATATAGTTCCAATTTCAAAAACGTATGCTTTCTTGGTAGATCTCTTAGAAGTTTGTTATCTTTAATGAGATGAGTGATTCAGAGTTTCCTTCTGACCAAAAGTAAACAAACAAATAAATAAATAAGGTGGGTGAGGGATAACAATCTAAAAGAAGTTCCCTCTTTCAAGTAAACAGATTCTTCTAACAAATGGAATATTAAGAAAAATATATTTTAAAAATGAGTCATGCCAAAAGGGCAAGGAGCCAATCTAAAATGAGCTCTTAATATCCAAAACTGAAACAACCTAAGAAAAAAAAATGTTATGATATTAACAAATTATAATCCAATGAGCTTGGGTGGCTCAGTTGGTTAAGCGGCTGACTTCAGCCCAGGTCATGATCTTGTGGTTCATGAGTTCTAGTGCCACATCAGGCTCTGTGCTGACAGCTCAGAGCCTGGAGCTGGCTTGGATTCTGTGTCTCCCTCTCTTTCTGCCCGTCCCCCACTCATGCTCTTTCTTTCTTTCTCAAAAATAAAAACATTAGGGGCACCTGGGTGGCTCAGTCGGTTAAACGTCTGATTGGCTCAGGTCATGATCTCAAGGTTCGTGGGTTCGAGCCCCGTGTCGGCCTTTGTGCTGACAGCCAGCTCAGAGGATGGAGCCTGTTTCAGATTCTCTGTCTCCCTCTCTCTCTGACCCTCCCCTGCTCATGCTGTCTCTCTCTAAGAAATTAAAAAAAAAATTTAAAAAAGTATAATCTGATGAATAGAGTAAATATCCAGGAGTCATACTGACATAAATAAAAACTGAGTAAGTAGAGAGAGAAGGGACAACTTTCCTTTCACAAAAGTTCCAATATATAAAGAATATCAGTAATAACTGCCTCAGACTAGAAGAACCAATGGAGGGACACCTGGGTGGCTCAGTCAGTTAAGCGTCTGACTCTTGGTTTCGGCTCAGGACATGATCTTCTGGTTCATGAGTTCAAGCCCCACATTAGACTCTGTGCTGACAATGCAGAGCTTGCTTCGGATTCTCCCTCTCGCCCTCTTTCTACCATCTCCCCACTCTCTCTCTCTTTCTCAAATAAATAAACTTAAAAAAAATGGATGCTAAAATTAGTGGGTTATTTTGAAGACAAACAGAGTACTTAATTAAACATTCTCAAAGTAACTCCCCTAAGATATTTGTTAGGTACAAAAGGAAATCAGTAAACTTACAGTGGAGAAACCTGACAGACACTACCTTAACCAACATTCCTAGCATTATACATAGTGAGGTCATGTGTCCAATGATATGAAACACTGAGAAGCACGCATAGCTTTGGTGATATTCTTGCTAAAAAAGAACCATCTTAATCTAATCATAAGAAAGCATTAGACAAATCCAAATATTTGATATTTGATATTCTATAAAATAACTGACAAGTACTCTTCAAAAGGTGTCAAAGTTATGAAAGACAAGGAAAACCTTAGGCACTATCAAGACTAGAAGAGATGATGGGGTGCCTGGGTGGCTCAATCGGTTGAGCATCTGACTTTGGCTCGGGTCATTATCTCATGGTTTGTAAGTTTAAGCCCCACATGAGGCTCTCTGCTTCAGATCCGCTGTCTCTCTCTCTCTGCACCTCCCCACTCACACTCTCTCTCTCTCTCAAAAATAAATAAACATTAAAAAAAAAAAAAGACTAGGGGTGCCTTGGTAGCTCAGTCAATTAAGCGTCTGACTCTTGATTTCGGTTCAGGTCATGATCTCATGGTTCATGAGTTCAAGCTGCATGCCAGGCTCCATGCTGACAGCTCAGAACCTGGAGTCTGCTTCAAATTCTGTGTCTCCATCTCTCTCTCTGCCCCCTACCCCCTCCCACTCACACTGTCTCTCTCTCTCTCAAAAATGGATAAACATTAAAACAATTTTTAAAAAAAGACTAGAGGAGATGAATAGGATATGACAAGTAAATGCACTGTGGGAACTTGGAGAATAGTGGTGGAAAAACTGATGAAAATTAAAGCCTGTAGTTGGTTAATAGTATTGTACTAATTTTAGTTTTGACAATTGTATTGTTTATGTTAAAGCAAATGAAGGATATATAAGAACTCTGTGCTCTGTCTATAACTGTTCTGAGTGTTCAAAATTGTTTCAAAATAAAACTTAAAAAAATAGGGCAGGTAGCAATTTATACCTTATAATAAACATTAAACATTTTTTTGAATTTCTTTTGAGAGAGAGCGACAGAGAGAGAGAGAGAGTGCACACACACGGGAAAGGCAGAGGGATAGAGAGAAAATCTCAAGCAGGCTCCATGCTGTCAGGTGCAGAGCCTACCGTGGGGCCTGAACCTGTGAATCATGAAATCATGACCTGAGCTGAAACCAAGAGTTGGGGGGCTTAACCGACTGAACCACCCAGATGCCCCTAACTTATAAATAAGCATTTTATTAGAGGGGCCAATATGTAGTATAAATTCATAGAAGAACACATGCACACACACAAACACACACAAATACATACATGATTACCAACAAATGTACATGATCAGGGGGAAAATTTAAAGTTTCCATTATGAGAAGATGCCTGTTGGCCCAGTATTAAGTAAGAATCAAAACACAGAACCACATCACATGTTTATTCTAAAAACTATACTTGAAACACACAACATTTAATGTTACAGGCTCTCCTTTACTGCAACTGACTGGTAAAGTAAATCACTCTGTTAAAAATAAAAGCACTTCTTAAGATTTTCCAAAATCAAAGTACTTACCAAAGGAAAAAAGATGAGTTACAGGAAGCTGAATGGATCTTGTCTCCTTTTTAAAGAATTCACAATCTACAACAAACTAAAATATAAAATATTGATTGATTAGGAAAAAGTAGAATTAAATTTTTGGTAAAATGTCTTTACTTGATGTTTGAGTAGTAAATAAAGTCTATAACTTTGCAGAAGGTATTACCTATCACATTCTAACTCCGACTATCCATAAATGGCCAACTATTACTCAAGGAGAGATGCTAACAGAATTTAATGCACTAGCTTAATTTCATAGATAAATTATTGGACGATCATCTGTGTAATAGGTGATGTATAGCACAGTTTCTTCAGGTCACTGTTAGGTGTGTTTAGAAGAAGGACTTTAAAGGATGGATCAAAGCATTAAGAACCAAAGTTAACTCAAGATTAATTAGAAATTTAAATAAAAATCTCTGAATACTTGCAGAGTCAAAAAGAAATGATTTTGTTACATTTACTTTTTTAAAAATCCCCTATTTATTATGTATCTACAAAACTCTAATTAGACTACCAAAGCCTTGGAGACAGGCATACCACCATTCATCTACCAGTGGCTAATGATCATTTGCATGATCATTTAAAGTTAAACGGTGATTAGAATAAATGGGAAATAATAAATGTATAAAGCAAGAAAAAGAAATGCTATCTTGGAACACGTGGGTGGCTCAGTGAGTTAAGTGCCTGGCTCTTGATTTCAACTCTGGCATGATCTCATGGTACAGTTCATGGGATAGAGTCCCATGTAGGGTTGTGCACTGACAGCCTGGTGCCTGCTTGGGATTCTCTCTGTCCTTCTCTCTCTCTGCCCCTCCAAAGCTTGCACATACTCTCTCTCTCAAAATAAATAACTAAACTTTTTTTTTTTAATCTTTATTTATTTTTGAGAGAGAGAGAGAATGTGAGCAGGGGAGAGGCAGACACAGAATCTGAAACAGGCTCCACAGGCTCCAAGCTGTTAGCACAGAGCCCGAGGTGGGACTTAAACCCATGAACCATGAGATCATGACCTGAGCCAAAGTTGGACAGCCAACCGACTGAGCCACTCAGGTGCCCTAAACTTTTTTTTTTAAGTTTAAAAACTTGAGGTTCCATGTATTATTAGCGCAAAGACCAATGTGGGGTTTGAACCCATGAACCGTGCATGAGATTATGACCTGAACCAAAATCAAGAGTCAGACACTCAACCGAGCCACAGAGGCGCCCCTGAATAAAAAAAGATGCTATCTCAAAAAAAGTAAAACTAAAATGTGACATCTGTATAATTTCAAATTTTCATAATGACATTTCTTCTGTAATAACATTTCTACAACAGCATAAAGGAACTTTGCCCTAAGCTGTCTGCAATAAAAATATTATTAAAATAATTTCCAAGAGGAAATCAAATTTCTTTGATCTATAAGAGCCGAAGAAATTAATCTGATGCATTATTGTAGCTAGCAAGTAGTCTGCTATTGATAGGAAGTAGAAAACCAGCGAGGACTATCCTAGGGTTTTCCTATATGTACATCTTGGATTGTTCTTGAAACCCAATGGATTGTTATTTTGTTTGCCTCTTGGGTAGATTTGTTTCTGAAAGTGAAAAACAGATGTGGGAAAATGCCATTTGACTATAGTACACACGAGGGAATAGAAGGAAACACTTATGCAGGGGCTTTGCTTTATTCTCCACATTTGTACTTATATGTCCAAGAATACCATCAGACATTTTCCTTATAGAAAACCACTGTTACAAGGGTAGAACAATCGTTTACTGAATAGGATTATTCATTTTATTTTTACAAAGCATTTTTGGTGACACATTGCCTCAGACAGAAAATCATTTTAACTTTTTTTTAAAGTTTATTTATTTATTTTGAGAGAGAGAGAGTGCATGCACGTGAGGAAGGGGCAGAGAGAAATGGAGATAAGAGAATCCCAAACAGGCTCTGAGCTGACAGTGCAGAGCCTGATGTGGGGCTTGATCTTACTAACTGTGAGATTATGACCTGAGCCAAAATCAAGAATCTGATATTCAACCAACTGAGACACCCAGAGAATTTTAAGTCACTTTGTACAGGTATTTAAAATAATACAATTTTTATTACTGCTTTAAAAATTTGGTTATGCCCTTTATGAATAAACTAATTCCCAAGAAAATAATTCAAGGGTCTCTTCTAATTAATGAACTTAGTTGTTTTCTGTCATCAAAAAAATGTAATTCCATATTTGTATTTTGAAAATTATATTACCAGTTGATTAAGAAATAAATTCAAACTATTTACATACATGTATCCTTCTGATAATGGGTTATAACAGATATACAGAAATTATGAAAGGCCTAAATTAACATCCCTGTAAGACTGGGTGTACAACAGTACAGTCAGCAAGTGGCACTTGACAAAGAGCATTAAGACATATTAAATATTCATTAGGCTGCTAAGGGTGGCTATTTGTGAAAGGCTCATTCACTTCTTGCAATAACCAGAGAGGGCCTTTCCAAGTTTGGAAAAGATGTTTAATTCATTCAAAACCAACTTACCTGACAGAAAACCCCCTAAAGACAGCTTTTAGAATTGAAGATGTTGAATTATCTCTCACTTGAGCTAAGCAAAACAAAACAATCAATCTATTATAAAGTACTTCTGAGATTCAGTCTTTGAGTTGATCTCCGAAAAATCCCCCTTTTTCCTTTATCTTTAAAATTTTCCTAATGATTTTGGCCTCAAATTTCAACAACTTTCTCATTCAGAAAACATTTTTTGATCATTTATATGGTAGTGAGTTGCTAAAGGTTGACAATACAAAATCTATCTGGTCTTACTCTCAAAGAATTCACAATACTGTGATGGGAATAGAGACATAAATTATAATTCATTGTAGTAAGTCACTCAAAGTTAAAGTGTCATGGAAGTAAGAAGTTGCCTAAAGGAGTCATGAAAAGGAAAATAGAAGACACAAGCTACACATTGAAGGATAAGTTTGTTAGGTGAAACATGAGGATCTTTTACTGCCATTTTCTTGTGGTAAACGTCTCTCAAAAATCACCATCTCCACCAAGTGAGAGTATTTCTACACTCACTTCCGTAATTCAAGCCCTCATAACCCCTTATGAAGTAGCTTGTCTGTTTCTAATCCATGCATACAATAGGTAGATTCATCTTCCAAACTGGCTGATTCCATTTCTTAAAATCTTTCTGCTGTCTAGTAACTCCTGAATTCTATAAAGTCCTGCATCTTCGAATCAAAGTTCTCCACAATATGTCTATAGACTACTTTCCCAGACTTTTCTTCCATCACCATTCTACCCATGGTGGCCATTTAAAAAAAAATTACTGTTTACTTATTCAGTATTTCTCAAACATATCTTACACTTCCACACTTCCATACTTGCATCTATTTCTTTTCCCAGCAGTGCTGTTCATTATTACTGTCTGCAATGATGTTACTATTGAGCACCTGGAATGTGGCTAGTACAACCAAGGAAATTAATTTTTATTTTATTTTGTTTTATTGCTTTAAATTAAATAGACACATGTGCTCATAACTCCCATATCAGATAGCACAGGTCTACAATGTTCATTCTACCCATAAAAATTTTAACTATCTTTTAAGGCAATTGTATTTTATTATTCTTAAATTTTTTTTTCATTTTTATTTATTTGAGAGGGGGAGAGAGAGAGTGAACAAGTGAGCAAGCAAGCAGGGGAGAGGTGCAGAGGGAGAGAAAGAGAATCCAAAGCAAGCTCCATACTCAGCCCAGAGCCTGAGGCAGTGCTCGATCGTAAATCAAGAGTTGGATGGTCAACTGACTGAACCACCCAGGAACCCCAAGGCAATTTTAAATATCACCTCATAATAAAGTCTTTCTTCATTCCATCATTCAGAGATATCTCCTCTTTTCATACTTCTTATTTATTTGCTATATTCTGATTTGTATTATATTTTTGGGTACCTCACTCTTCCCTCTGCTTCCAAATGTTTCTCTCCTCTACCCAATAGTATATAGCTCTTTGAGAATAAGATTCATCTGTGTGCCTCCTAAAATTCCTGGTAGACTCTTGACATAAAAGGGAACTCAATAATGAATAGATTTTGAAAGATGAATACGTAAGTTATGTTCCCACTTTAAACATAGACTTGGGTTTATTCTGCATAGTTCAAGTTAGAATAGATGATCCTAATGATTTAAGTCTTAGGTGGATCACTGAACTAGTCACTGTTTTAGATAAGCATTATACTATATACTAAAGGACTCATCAAAAAATAACTTAAATATTTAGTTACATCTATATAACCATATAATATCCATAAAACATTTTGAATAATAACCTTAATCCATTTGTTACCTTACTTCCATGAATAGATGGTACATAAACAACAAGATGAGATAAAGAAGGATAGTCTTGAAGTCTTAATGTCAGAGACTAAAAAAAAAAAAAACACAACAAAAAACCACAAATATAAAAGCTGAGGATACACAGAGCTTAAAGCACTTTAAAAGATAAATTACAAACACATTTCTTATTATTTGGTTATTAAAGAAACTAATTTCAAACTTTACATTCAAGACTTCATAAAATTCTCATGTTTACATTTTCAGGTCAATAATCCTGCTGAAGTAAAATTCCTAATAATTTATGTGGACTACCAAAAATATTCTTTGAACTATATCCCTTCATGTAGGGATGTGACTCTTAATACTAAATTAAATGTTTTATATAATTATTTCCAGATCTGGTATCTTTTATAACTTGTCCATTTGTTTTTTATAACATTACAATATGACTTCTACATGATGAATGAATAAATGAATACTAAAAATAATAGAAGAGTTGCAACCTAACCTCAAAAGATTCTGATCTATCCCAAGCAGTAAAGAGTTGCTATCTAATGATGTATATAAACATCATCTCCTGGAAATTATTCATCAAATGATATGAAGACACTATAAGACTAATAATGCACCTTATTAAATGAACATCTACTTTTAAAATTAAGACCAGATCCTATAATCTATATTTTGAGGAATGAATAGACAGGAGACTGATCTACTTAATGAAAAGCCAAGCCACCAAATACAGGTTTGTTTTTTTTAAGTTTATTTATTTTGAGAGAGAACATGAGCAAGGGAGGAACAGAGAGAAAAGGAGAGAGAGAATCCCAAGCAGGCTCCACCCTGTCAGTGCAGAGCCTGATAAGGGGCTCAATCCTATAAACCACAAGATCATGAGCTAAAATCAAGAGTCAGATGCTTGATCGACTGAGCCACCCAGGTGCCCCAAAATACAATTTTAAAATCCAGTTTCTTTTTTTTTTTCTGGAAGTAGGTGTGGGGATGGAAGTAGTTCTATGTGGTAACAATTTGTACGCATTAAGAAATTTCTCCAGACAGTTAACTTTCTCCAGTGTTTTTCAGAAGCACGTACGTTGGCAAGTTGAACAAAGGTGCTGAACCTACGGAATTGTTAACTAGTGGCCCTCTAACAACCTGACAAGATTCACCTCTAAATGCTAATTAAACTCGTAGACTTCACCTCTACTTGGCAGTCTCAACAACAGACTGAATACATTCTAATGTAAATTAAAAGGCCTTAAAAGGGCCTCAAAACTCATAGGGACAGGCAACTGAGATACTCAGACAAATGTTAGATTAATTATGAAAGATTAATTAGAAAGAACCATAGTTACTCTGTGTAGTTATCCACACGAATAGCTTTTGTTATCTATGTGCAAGAATAATTTTTTCTCAAGAATTATTTTTAGGATCAGAATACTCTGACAAGATAACAGTGCCAAAAAATTTCCTTATAAAAATCTCATAGAGTTATAATGTCAGTAGGAATGAACAATATTCATAAAATTGTTACAATGACAAAAAAAGATTAATATGAAGTTTGGAAATTTTACAGTGTTTTAAGGATAAAATGCCCTTAATGCTGAGACAATACACACTGGAAATCAAACATCAGGCTTTGGGGAGGCTGGGCAGCTTAGTTAGTTAAGTGTCCAACTCTTGTTTTCAGCTCAGATCTTGATCTCAGGGTCATGAGTTCAAGTTCCACACTGGGCTCCAGGCTTTGATGTCAGAAATTCTCTAAGTTCTAGGGGCGCCTGAGTGGCTCAGTCGGTTAAGTGCCTACCTTTGGCTCAGGTCATGACCTCACAGTCTGTGGGTTTGAGCCCCATGTCAGGCTCTGTGCTGACAGCTTGGAGCCTGGAGCCTGCTTCAGATTCTGTGTCTCCCTCTCTCTCTGACCCTCCCCTGCTCACGCTGTCTTTCTCTCAAAATAAAATAAAGACATAAAAAATTTAAAAAAGAAAAAAAAAAAAACTCTCTAAGTTCTGCTGCTGTTTGCAGACCAAAGCTATGGTGCTAAAGTATGAATAAGGCAAAATGGTGACAAGATAGTTTTGTCATATAAGTTAGGTAGGTATCTTTAGAAAGTTAATTTTTGTGTTTGTTTTCAACAACAAATCCATTTTGGCTTACCAAATTCTTGGCCTGCTGTGCTGTGTGTTTTTAAGAAACTTCTTCATTGTACCCATGATAGAAAAATTCCATGTGATTGGTGTTTAAAAACTGAATTTACAAGTGCTTTGCTGTACTCTATTTATTTACAGTTCAGTCAGCAGCAATGCTAAAAGTGGCATGTTTCTCATCTGACACTGCTTCCATTGAGTGTCATATGAATCATTTCATATTCATAAATATGAATAAAATTCTCAAAATCTTATTCTTTTCTTTCCCTCCAACTTGATGGCAAAATAATTTGTCCTTTTTACAAATGGAAAACACATATATAATTCTGATTCATGAAAATGGAAGTTTATGTTTAATAATTATAATTCTCATCAGATGGGAACACCTAAGATTGCAGAATATTATAATCGTTGTTTTCTAAACTTCCCTCTTCCATTCCACGCCCCCTCCCCCCATATTTCAGTAGGCTTTTAATGCTGACAACCTCTCTCTGCTTTCACTGTAAAATGCAGCTAGAAGAGCTTGTTCCCCTGCTGTTCAGCCAGCTATTTCTTACATTTAGAAGAAACAATTTAGCGGTCTAGAACCAGATAAATACGTTGTTTAATCTTTGAGATCAAACATATATATAAGGATTTTATTATTTAAGAAGTAACTTTTTAAAAATAGGAGCAAAGTAACATACTATCAGGGTTAGTTTTTTAAGTTTATTCATTTATTTAGAGAGAACATGAGTGGGGCAGGGGGAGAGAGAGAGAGAATCCCAAGCAGGCTCTGCAGTGACAGTGAGCTTGAAGTCACAAACTATGAAATCATGACTTGAACCAAAAACCAAAAGTCAGACGCTTAACTAATTCAGCCAACCAGGCGCTCTTCTATCAGATTTTAATTATTTATTTCCTCCTAACTCTTAAATTACAGATTGGATAGGATATCCAAACTGGAAATTCAAGGAAAGATTTATGAATGATTATCAATAAGTATACCCTAATACTTTTGTTTGTTTTGCTCCTTCCTAGATTAGGATAGAAACAGTGAGAGACATTAAAAATGTTCATATGAATCTAATCACTTTCCTATAATATTTGTCTCCTAAATACAAAGTCACATGACTGAATATGCACAAAATAAGGATGACCAAGGTGACAGGAAAAATCACTGCCACCATTCTAAAGTCAAGTGTGAAGTAATTTGACTTGAATGAATAAGTAATTTATTCATTCTGTCATTCCTCTCTGTTAGTAAAGTTGACTATTTATACATATAAATATAAACAATCATGAACACAACTAGCTAAACTGTAGTGGGAGATGACAGGGACCAGCCAGATGGCTTCACTTTCTTTTTAAAAATTTATTTATTTTGTTTATTTATTTATTTTGAGAGAGAGAGAGAGAGAGAGAAAACATGAGTGCAGAGGAGGGGAAGAGAGGAAAGGAGAGAATTCCAAGCAGGATCCACGCCATCAGCCCAGAGCCTGTTGTCAGGCCTGAACTCAAGAACCATAAGACAATGACGTGAGCCAAAATCAAGAGTCAGAAGCCTAACCAAATGAGCCACCCAGGCGCCCCAGATGGCTTCACTTTCAAGATTATGAGGCTAGTATTCATTATGAAAATACATTTTTTAAAAATTTTTTTTCTTTAATGTTTATTTATTTTTGACAGAGAGAAACAGAGCTCAAGCAGGGGAGGGACAGAGAAAGAGGGAAACACAGAATGTGAAGTAGGCTCTAGGCTCTGAGCTGTCTGCACAGGGCCCAATGCGGGCTCTAACCCAAGAACTGTACAATCATGACCTGAGCCAAAGTCAGAAGCTTAACAGACTGAGACACACGGGCATCCCTGAAAATATATTTTTAAAGTATAGACTTACCTAAAGACTAAAAATTATCAATCCTGATATAAGATTATGGGTTATAATAAATACAATTTGGAAATTAGAATGGAGTTTTCATCAAAGTTTAGAATTATTTTCCTAACAAGATTAACATATTGTAAAAAGACTTGCTGACCTACCAGATAGAAGTACCAAAATTACTTAATCACTAACAATTAAATAAATCCCACGGAGTACTAGATAAAGTAGAGTTATCCAAGTGCTTGACCACACAATGAGGATGAGGTTGATTTGGAAAATTACTTTACGCCTCTTCAAGATGCTCACTTCCCTATTGTGGTTCCTCTTTAAAATTTAGCTTCTATTTTAAGATAAACCATTCCAAACATGCTCTCAAATTAAATTTTAAAAATTTATCTAGCTCTTGGTATGATGCTATAATATACAGAATTAATTTATTTAAAAAAAATTTTTGTTTATTTTTGAGAGAGAGAGAGAGAGAGAGAGAGAGAGTGAATGGGGGAGAAGCAGAGACAGAATCCGAAGCAGGCTCCAAGGCTCTGAGCTGTCAGCACAGAACCAAACATGGGGCTCAATGTCAATCATGAGTTCATGAACTGAGTTGAAGTCAGACACTTAACTGACTGAGCCACCCCGATGTCCCTAGATTTAATTTCATTTAGAAAAGTGTTAACATATAGTTTTTACCTTTGAAAGTTCAAAAAATTTTTCATGTTATTCTCCATTAAATGTATTACCACAGAAATATTTCTAAAACATATGTTAGCAAATCTCAAGTTTACTCAATACTTAGATGAATTTATAAAAGACCATACTCTAAAATGCCTATAGACTCCAGTCCTTTTGAGTATTTATTCACTGGATATTAAAATTCTAAAGCCATAATTTACCTTAATTGTTGGCAGCAGTTCAGCTTTCCATGATAAATCAATCCCTTGCCGGCTTTGAAATGAATATGAAAATATAATTAAAGGACAAACATATTAAAATACTATAAGTTATAAATAAACTTCAGAGGAAACATAAACCAGCTACAGACCCACCAGTGAAAGGTCTAATGAAGCTAAGTCCAGTAAATCTAATCTAATATACTCTTATCTATGCAGTCCTTTTGGGTAAAAAAAAAAGTTTTTCTTAGCAAGTAACTATTTCAATGTCTGCAAATATTATTGATGTTAATTCTCTTTATTTTTCATTATAAAATCAGTGCTATAACTTGGTAAAGCAGAAAATGAGTTTAATAATGTATGAAGCTATTCTAAAAAGTGTGGTGTGATTTGTATTATTTATATTGAGAAAAATCAACAGTCAAGGCCCTGAGGTTCAAAAGACTTACCACATAGAAGTGCTGTTTATACAGCCAAATATCCAACTATTTGTATCCTGTTGATTAATAATACAAAACACACAAGATATTTTAGAAAATATTTACATAAAATAGGCAGCTTTAACATTTTACTGTTATATTATAGAGTTAGTAGGCACAATGGAAACACAAAATAGCAACTTTTTGTTTAGAAACATTTCCAAGCATTCTCAAAATCATATAGGTCAAGGGTAGGCAAAGAAGTCTGATGTCAGCATCAATAGGTAATCAAGTAACCTAGAACAGCAGTAAGAGTGACCTCTGCACAGCATGTTGCCTAAGTGATTCTAATTTTTGAACCAACACTTTCCGAGTTCAGCAATGCTCATACTTTAATTAGGTAGTTACATAGTAAGTTACCTACATTTTAAGTAAAAACAGAAGAATGAATACCTAGAGGTAGACTTTTATAAAAATAGAAAAAAAAATTCAGAGCCAAGTAATTAAAGGTAGCAATCACTCTAAGTATATAGCTTATTAGTTTATCATTTGGTACTCATTTATTAGGCAAAACTTCTATGTAACTGAGCATGTGTTTGGGTTGAAGCACAACTAGAAGGGCTGAAGACAAAAGCTAGTTATTACTTTATCAGGATAGCAGGGGAATGCTGCAGAGATGGTAGTGATACTTTAACACAATTATGTATTTATCTTCAGTAGTTTAACAGCACTATGACCAAAGACCAAAGGAAGTAGTAAGAGCAATGTTCCAAGATGTGATGATCCAATTACTGAAATTCTACACACCAAGGAATAAGAGGATAAAAAACACTGCCCAGATAGCCACATATTATTTGCCTTAGTAAACAGAGAGGACAATAAGAAAGAAATGAATCCCTTCATTCCACTAATATTTATAAAGTCCATTCTAGAACCATGGAACTATGCTAAGCCTTCAAGGAAAATGATGAATGAGGCAGATACAGTTTCTGCCCTTATGGAGCTTAAATACAATTTTAAGATATTTTCCAAGAATACAGAAAAGAAAGCTGAAAGGAAACAAACAAACAAAAATGCAGTATTTGTCAGCTCTCCACAGCTGGCAGAATACTTACGTGAACTTCTCTATCAGCTGCCCATGTTTCCCAGAATAATGTAACGTTAAAAAGCAAGGCAAAAAAAAAAAAAAAAAAAAAAAAAGATCTGTATAGCTTAGAAAAGAAAACTCTAGAGACCTCTAAGGATCCAACCCATTTTTGTAATGTGTTTTAAGGGAGCCTACCCTAAGATAACCCTTGATATGAAAGTTGCCAATATTCAACACTATTTAGACCTTAGTGTATAGTGAATTCTGACTTATTAACAAATTGAAAAAGTATTATTCAAGCCCACCCTAAAACACCACGATTTGTAATTTATAAGGTGTCAAAAGAACAACTTCAGGTCATCTAGTAAGCAGCCCTAACTCAATTAATTATAAAAATCATATAAAACTCTTAGAAAAAGTCACTCATGAAATGCCAACTAATTTCCAAGGTATATACAGAAAAAAATGCTACTTAATTATAAAATTTATAGATCTAAAAAGAAATCTATCTATAGTTAAAAAAAAAAACCAATGTTCTCAATGGCTGCTAAAACTGTTCGGTGAAAAACTGATTAAGAACTTTATAAAATATATCATGCTGATACCATCCAACTCCACTGATAAGTCTTTAGGTCACTAAAGTGGGACAATCAAATATAGATTTTCTGATAAGTACAGAGTTCTACTTATAAAACATATTTGCCACAAAAAAATGAATGATAATTAAAAATTAATCAAGATTCTTAATTTACAGAAAACATAAGGGATAGAAATATATGTGAAATGATACCACAAGAGGGGCACCTGGGTGGCTCAGCTGATTAAGCATCAGACTTCGGCTCAGGTCATGATCTCACAGTTTGTGAGTTCAAGCCCCACATCAGGCTCTGTGCTGTCACACAGAGCCTGCTTTGGATTCTCTGTCTTCCTCTCTCTACCATGCTCACGTTCTCTCTCTCTCTCTCTAAAATAAACAAACATTTAAAAAAATGATCCCACAAGAATACAGTGAGCTAGAGGAGCCTGGGTGGCTCAGTCAGCTGAGCATCAGACTCTTGATTTCAGCTCAGGTCATGATCTCTTGGTTCCTGAGATTGAGCCCTTGTGTTGGGGGGAGGCAGGAGTCTCACTCTCTCCCTCTCTGTCCCACCCGCACTTGGCTCTCTCAAAATAAATAAACTTAAAAAAAAAAAAAAAAAAAGAATATAGTCAGCTAAACCCAGAATATGGGAATTCTGTAGAACATATAACCTATTTTCTTAAACGAATAAATGGCAGAGGTGAGGGGAGTGGCCGTTATAAAAGAGACTGAGGATCCATGAACCATGCAGTATGTGTACTTTTTAGATTCTGATTCAAAAAAACCAACTTAGAATTAATTGAACAAGAGGAAAATTGAACATGGACTGGATATCACATGATATTAAGACATAATTAATTAATTTCATTGGATGAAATAATGGTATTAGAGTAACATGCATAATTCTTATCTCTTAGAAAAACACATTTAAGTATTCAAGGATGAAATGATAAAATGCCTAGAATTTGCTTTAAAAATGCTTCAGTCAAAAAAATGAGGAAAGGATAAATAAGAATGGCAATGTTGTTAAAGTTATGTGATGATTATGTGAGATTTCATTATCATATTCTACTTTTCCATGATTGAAAACTTCTATAATATAATTGAAAGATTTAACAAATTCCCTACATGACTTTATGCTAATCAATACCCATAGACCTTAAATTACAGAAAAGGGATCCTCCAATAAGCCAAATGGATAATTTGAACTTTATCAAGGATTTTTCTCAATATAATACTAACATTGTGATTTGGAATTTAATATTAAGTGAGTTTGGATATTTTAAGACAGCAGTCTAAGGGCCAGATTCTCCTAAGATAAACTGCCCAAACAGACTTTAGGCTAAGAGATGCTAGTTTCTGTGAGAAATGCAAAACTCTGGTCATCCCATTAAAATTAATTTTCATTAGCACCTATCCCACAATGCTTGCCTATAATCTTTTCCGAAGATTTTACATTCTTTCTGAAGATAATACAATGACAGGATTTACCAACGCAGTGACATATGAGATTCTAGTTCTAAAGAATACAAATAATCCAACAAAAGGGACAAAAGGAAATAAATTATGAAAGATGCATAGATAAAGTGATCCTGGGAAATGCAAAAAAAAATTTTTTTCAAAAAAAGAGGGAAAAGAACTCAAATTGGGAAACAAGTTCCTGAAAGTAAGAAATGCTGATAAATTATTAAATTTTTACTTAAATATTCCTAATATAACAAAGGCATGCTATAGCATCTAACACATTTTTTTTACAAGGCCTAACATATTAGGTACTCATTAAAAAGAAATAATCACATTGTTAACTCAAGTCTAGATAACACTGTAACAAAAAGTATTTTAGAAAATGTTTGGTATAAAAAACCCTGCAATTTTAGTATGGTAGCCAATGGAAAAACAGTATTTACTTCATACAGAACAGCTTTGTTTAAATAGATCTGTTCTTTAAAGTACTAATAAAATTTTAGAATTAAAGGAGATATGAACTGAATTCCTTCATCCTAAATATAGTGAAAGGCAGAAAAACAGGGTGAAAGACCTAAACTAGAGCCAAGAGTATAATTTCATAGTAAATTATCAAAGAAACATGGATTAGTATTTTTTAATCAAAACTCTGTTCCAGACAAATATTTTTCAACTTATCAGATTTAATTAATAGCTCATAGCTACAGAGATCTATTAGATATTAATCAAATCTTTTAAAAACCTCAGCTTTAAATGTATATAAAATGTACCAATTGTCTTACCAGCATGGTGCTCTGACAATATACATGAGTGTAGATTTTTCTATGATTTTCAAGAGGAAATGTAAAATATATCTTATCAGATTCCTAAAAAAAAAAAAAGCAAAACATAATAAAACTATCAAGAGAATAGATAAATTCATCATTCAAACATCCAGATAAAGCAATCAGTAATTATTCTAGTTTTATCATTCTTGGTGTTGTTAAGAACCAATATTCTAGCAGTGGAAAATGTAAGACAGATGTAAGACAGGGGTTTCAAGTACCCTGTAGTCCTGAATTTGTCCTGGAAATATCAGTATAAATGAATATTTTTTTGTTTGGGTTGGAATTTTGGCCTTATGACGAAGATAAAATACATTTCTTAACTCTGTCCACTGAAAAGGCCTAGAAATGCTAACCTACAAGTCATAAACATCTTTGGTGCCCAAACTATGATTTCTAGACACCAAATAATAATAAGAGTCCCTTAGAGAAAATACGGATTCAAGGTTTGGGGCAGGAAATGTGCAAAATGAATTCAAGTATCTTCTCATACTAGATAGGGAAGAAACTATCAAAGACAACTAAAGAGTAGCTTTATCAAAAAGATTCAGAAGCCTTACTTGAAATGTCTTCCACTGGTCAAAGACAGAACAATTTTAATAGTTTAGATGGAAATACAAACATGTTTAAAGTATGAGTTCATAATAAAACTAGAAGAAAAATCCCCAAAACCATTTATGATCACTGATGGAGGAGGTTTGGAGCCAACTTGCTTTTCTGAAAACCAGGAAATCTAAGAGCCAAAGATCTAAGCAATTATAGTTTTTTCCTTTTGTGATATGTTCCCCTTCTGATAAACTTAGATGAGAAACTTCCCAATACGGTGCTCCTCTTAATAAAAAGAAAAATTAGGGGCGCCTGAGTGGCTTAGTCGGTTAAGCGTCCGACTTTCGCTTGGGTCATGATCTCGCGGTTCGTGGGTTCGAGCCCCACGTCGGGCTCTGTGCTGACTGCCAGCTCAGAGCCTGGAGCCTATTTCAGAGTCTGTATCTCCCTCTCTCTCTGTCCCTCCCCTGCTCATGCTGTCTCTCTCTCTCTCTCCTAGAAATAAATAAAAAAAATATTAAAAATAAATAAATAAAAAGAAAAATTAATCAAATTAGAGTGTCAGCATTTTTGCATCCTCCTAAATGAATTAATGACTCTAGGCATTCTTTGTCAATAGCTGCTAACATCACAAAAAAAGAATCTAGCCAAAACAGAAGCTGAATCTGATCAAGCAACTAAATCTGATCCACAAACGAAGTCACAAGAAAAGAGTAGACAAAGGAATATATAATTTTTTTTTTTTTTTACCAAATGACCAAAAACTTTTATTTGACTAAATTCTATTTCATGCATAAGCATGACAGTCTCCCCTGTTTATTAGACTTTGGCAATAGAAAAAAACAAGCAGCCTTATACAGAACAGTGACAATGCCAAGGGTGAGGGTGGTCTACAGTTTCACTGTAGGATAAATATATGTATTTTTAAAAGGCCTCTCTCCCTTTGGCCATATCAACTCTCAGTTCATGCAATCAGCAAAATAAGACTGTGTGAAACTCTATAGGAGAAATGACTTGTTTTTTCAACAAATAAGCTGCAAGGAAAAGGGGTAGAAGAAGTATGAGAGATTAAAAGAGGAATAAGAGACATATCAACAAATGACAATATGTGGATATTTGTATTCTCATTTAAACAAACTGAGAAACAAAAAAATTTGACAATTATGATAAAAGTGGATAAATGAACACTAACTAGATATTACTAAGGAATTTTCATTAAATTGTTTTAATGTGGGAAAATAATAGTTATCTTTTTAAAAGAGTCTTAAACTTTTAAAGACAAATACTAAAATTTTTTTTGAAAAAAGTAAAAAAAAAAATCCATTAATGGTATACTTACATTGTAAGCCACATAGGTCCATTTGGACACTTTTACTGGAACCCACATAGATGTCACTAAGGTAAAGGAAATTAATTTGTTTGCCTTGTTTTTGAAATATTAAACAATTTTTTTACTGAATGCTCATAAAACATACATTTTTTGAAACACTTCTCAATTACAGCAGGATTTGAAAAAGAAGTGATTTCCTGAACAATGGCTATTTTAAAATAAAAAATCTAGTAAGATGTTATCCATATACTCATCAGCAACTAGCATTCACATCAAGTAAAGCATCTTAAATTTATCTGGTGTCTTTAACTCTAATAAAGTATCAATAAAAAGGAAATAAATTATTTGATTTTCAAAGTGAGTATGACACGTAGTTTGTTAACAGCAAAAGATATGCTGTTATACTAAAGGAAGACTGAAAAATGACTGATATTGAAAACTTAAGATTAATTAAAGTATTTTATGTAACTGTCAGAATAGAGACATTTAACTCTATCTTTAAAATTTTTCTACTTGTCATATTATTTTCAGGCCAAAATTTTTATCAGCAACATCATATAAATTGTTTTCCTACTTTTTCTCTTCCTTAATCAAGAACCTCATAAGAAACTATCACAGAAAAATTAATAAGATATAATAGGATTAGAGTACCTGAAATATCAAAGTTTCAAAGACTTTGCTAATAATTTACCTAAAAATAATAATAAAAACTTGATTTAAAATAAAAACATGTTATTGCCACCAACCTGTTAAGTCAGAAATTATTGCTGGATTTTCTTCAAAGTGTTTTGCTGGGTGTCTTATAAAGTGGTGATTCAAAACTGACAATTTCTTCTTGGGATTTTGAGTTATCTAGAAAGAATAATGATACATGCTGCATCTTTTTGTATCTACTGTGATAGTTCAATAAAACTTTGCTTCAAATAATAATGGCAAGAGCCAACAGTTACATACTCTGTGTCAGGCACTATTCTAAGTATTTAAGCATCACAAGAGCTCTAGGAGATACTAACTACTATATCTGCATTTTTCAAAGAAACAAAAGCACACAGAAACTAAGGAACTTGCCTAAGGTCACACTCCTATTCAGAGTCTGGGTCAGGATTCCGACCCAAGTAGTCTGGATCCAGAGCCCATGATATCAACCATTATGCAATAGTGCCTCTCAAGTAACAGTTAAAACATACAAAGGTATATAGAGTCAGATGAGAACTTAAGAGATTCTCCAGACTAGTGATTCCAACACATTAGTTTCCAAATTCAGGCCAGCGCCAATCCCACAACAAAGAATTCACTGGTCATTAAAGAAAATATGAACTGCCAACTGCACTTCCTTGGAAACTGCTTGCCTTGCCTCTACTCTTACTTTTATTGTGTCTAAATGTCCTTTCTTTCATTAAATGAAAATGAGAGCATACAACAGGACTTTTTATTGTCTGTTTTAAAATATTGTAGCACAATAAATATCTACAACTTTATACCAGTTTCTACCTTAAAGAAAAAAAAAATACTGGGTATAAAATCCATTTAGAATCTACCGCTATTCAATTCTCTAGTTTAAGCACGGAGACTCTGACAGGTTAAGTGATTTTCTCAATGACATAGCGAGAGGATAAAAAAGAAATGACAGTGAGGACCCATGTCTAGCAAATCTTTTCAATCCCTTAGGAAATCACCTTTTGCTTGAATATTTATTTCTAACTTGCTCTTTTGGAAGTTAGTACATTCCAATTTTAACAATTCTTATGAGGAGAATGCTCTGCCATATCTGATTCCTTGTTACTTTGACATATTAAGTTAGCGGCCAGCCCTTCAAGAAATTAAAGAGCAATAAAACATTTCTTTACAGATTAAACTATTTCAAAAAAAAAATCAACTGTTTTTCATAGAATTATTTCAAACCCTTTACCACCCTGTCTTCCCCAGATAAACTCAAGTTTGTTAATGTCCTCCTTATAATACAACATACAAAATAGAATACAGTTCTTCAGGTATTATATAACTACAGTAGAGGATACTGAAATTTATCTTCATTGATGCAAACTCAATAGTTCAATAAACTCAATCTCATATAAAACTAATTCTGACTTTTTTAATTAATTAATTTATTTTTTTATATTTTTATTTATTTCTAGGAGAGAGAGAGAGAGAGACAGCGTGAGCCGGGGAGGGTCAGAGAGAGAGGGAGTCACAGACTGAAATAGGCTCCAGGCTCTGAGCTGGCAGTCAGCACAGAGCCCGACGCGGGGCTCGAACCCATGAACCGCGAGATCATGACCTAAGCGAGTCAGACGCTCAACCGACTAAGCCACCCAGGCGCCCCAATTCTGACTTTTTTTAAAGCAGTCACATCTGTTTACAGCAATTAAAAGTAATAAATAGGTCTTTCTGCCAAAAATTTTAGGTAAGTCAGGACTTTCCCTCCTTACTCATTCTAGGGAATCTATCCATTCATAAGTTTTCAGCTATGACTTTTATTTATTTTTTTTTACATTTTTTTAACGTTTGTTTATTTTTGAAAGAGAGGCAGAGCATGAGTCAGAGAAGGGCAGAGAGAGAGGGGACACAGAATCCGAAGCAGGCTCCAGGCTCTGAACTGTCACTCCAGAGCCCAATGCAGGGCTCAAACTCCCCAGTGACTGAGCCACCCAAGTGCCCCTGAGCTAGGTCTTTTATGATAACATCAGAAATTATTGTCTAATTCTGATTCCTTCATACTACATGTTTGGGATTAAAGAAAGGTAGCGATCATATCGTAACTTTTTATTGCCTAATATTTGGTCGAGTCTACTTATATATAGTGAGTTTGTGAAATAGAACTCAGTTTCATATTCTGATTCTTAGTAATATTAGTTATAAAAAATTTCTCATGTCTCTTAAAATGTGTCTGTAAAATACTTATCTATCCAGAATTATAACTTATTACACACTAGTATTAAAATTTTCTCATCTCAGGATTTAATGGAAAACAAGATTAGAATTAGTTTTATGTAGTGTTTCAACTATACTTCAATTAAAAAATAGCTTTATGTACAATTTTTAAGTATTAAACCTGTCTCTGATATTAATGTTCTTCATGGGCTGAAATGAGTTTTCTCCCTAAGCCTACCAAATGTCATTCCAAATACAACCTGGTCTTGCAATTTTAAGGGATTCTATTATTGTATCTAGTTGCACTCTCTCAAACTAAAAACCAATGACCATAGTTAAGACTCACAATTAAAACAAGGTTGAAAAACTGAAAAATGTTTGCATTCTATGGCCAATTCAGTGTTAATGCTATAAAGTTGATTTATTTTAATAAATATCTAACTTAAATACAGTATCTTGTGGCTTAAAATGTAGTAAAACACAACAATCTGGGTCTCCCTTTTTTTTGGTGGGGGGGGGGTCTCTTTTATTGCATTCTTCAGGAGAGAGGTAAATACCTAATCTACTAGTAGTTCTGCAGCTTTCTGAAGGGTTAAGGAAAAAACACAAACACCACCCCACTTCCAACAGAGAAAGCAAAAGAGCAAAGTTCTAGATACAATAAGGAAAGCATTACCTAGAGATCTATTAAGAGGCCACCCATACTAGTATCTCAAAGAATTGGAGCCTTCAAGGGAAAGAATCCAAAAATATCTGAGCTGAATACTTTGTCATAATGAAGAAAACTACCTAATACACAAGGAACTTTTTCTTCAAAAGAAGCCACAAGCACAGTTCTCAAAACATGTTTCTATAAAACAGTGAAGGACTCCAAGATGACCTGAGGTTTAAAAAATGGCTGCTTTAAGATGAAAAATAGCAGTACATTCCCAGTACATTATCACAGAAAAATAGATAAGTTCATTCCCTGAATTTTGCTGGAATCCTTGGTGCCCACTACTATATAAATGCTGGCAGACAAGAAACTATAAAGGGCACTATGACTTCCAGGTGTCCTGCTAATTGAACAACTTGGAAAATCACTAGCCTAGAGAGTTTATAAGTGTAATCTCATTACAGAAAAGGTTCAACTTCTAGAAGTACATAATTTAAGTTTTGGCCAGAGTGGGTTATTCAATAAATTCAATGATAGGAATACCTTTTCCTATCAGAAAGGTAAAGATGGTTTTTTAAAAAGAATTAAACAAAAACGTCTAATAAGACAGATCATGAAGTCTACAATGTGTTACTAAGGAAAAAAAAAAAGCTTGTAGTAAGTACTTTCCTTAAAGTTAAAAGGATGTATATCAAATTTTAAACAAGTAAAAAGGGAAAACTGGGGGGAACATTTAAAGTATTCTTTCACTTTTTTACTTTCATTGCATTCAATTAATTATTAATAGTGATCAAAGTATTATCAGATAAAAATAAAGAGATTTCTATTTTGAAACTAACTGCTGTTGATATATGGCTTCTACTTTTATGAAAGTAAAAAAAATGTATTAAATCCATCCCTGCTGAGGGTGCCTGGGTGGCTCAGTCAGTTAGCGTCCGACTTTGGCTCAGCTCATGATCTCATGGTTTGTTAGGTTCAAGCCTCATGTCAGGCTCTGTGCTGACAGCTCAGGGCCTGGAGCCTGCTTCAGATTCTGTGTCTCCCCCTCTCTCAGCCCCTCCCATGCTCATGTTCTGTCTCTGTCTCTCAATAATAAATAAACGTTAAAAATTTTTTTTGAAAAAAATAAATCTATCCCTGCTGTAACAAAAGCTTTTACTTTACTGAATATTTAATTTTAAAAATACATACTTGTTTAGTATCAGCATCAATAAGATCAAAGAATGCTCGAATTGTAGTCAGTTGCAATTGTTTACACCTAAAAAATAAAGTTACAAATGAAACTTTCTTTAATATACTTTTGATACAAACATGCATAATTCTATTATTTAATGGAATATCTGGGTTTCTTTTACAGCTCTAAACTCTAAAAGTATTTAACAAATCATTATTATTAAGTATATTTCTTAAAGTTGAAACATAAAAATAAAGCAAATTAAATCTTCCTGGATGTTTGACAGTGGAACTAACAGAGTCCTTCTGTTTTCCCTAAGTTTTCTTGTCTACTTCAGCTACAGGCAACCATCTGCCCCATCTTTGTATGCCTGAACTATTGTGCTTCTTGTAGACACCATTGACTGCACAGCCAGAGGAAAGTGAAAAAAGAATCTTTAAGCTTAAACATAGAGGGATAAGATAACTAGGGTCTATGTATTTCTTACTCTTATTTAATCTATTTACATAAAGGATAAATCTAATTCCTACTTCGTTTTCCATGTACTGTTCTAGAATAGTCAATGCTATATTCATCAAGTTCCTGAGTTTGGTGATTGGCCAAGAGCTCACAGGTTCTATAGCAAATACCTTTGATTTTGGTAAACTATGATAAGCTCTAAAATTTTGATATTTGAGTCTAGCTTCATTTGAGATTGATGCTATTGGTTCTTCAAGAAATGATTTTACAGGTTGTCAAACTGAGACAAAAACCAAGGTTAGAGTTCTCAGTACTTAAGTCAGTCTTTCTCCCATACTTTATTTTTGGATAAAGTTCTAATTAATGCACTGATGAGAAAAAAGGAGCACCACAAATCACCAAAATAAGTTATATTAACTTACCACACAATGGAGAGGTGGTCTGTTGAGACCCAGGTCTTAGGCACTGCTGAACTCTAAAAGGGCAGGAAAGAAAAAATCCAACTTAAGAAAAGCACATTTCTTATTCTCCAAAAGGTCTGAAATTCTCATAAGCTAATATTTAGAAACATGTAACATTAGTTTCACTATTTTATGATGCACAGACATATTAAAGTGATGCATTCTTATAAAAGGTGATCCAAAAATATTAAGGTAGTCCCTGCATAAAATCATTCTGTCATTACTCCTTAGTCAAGCTTAAATTACCCTTTAAAAATTATTAAAGTATCCACAGACTCCTTATTGAAGCTTAAGGTCTAATTCTATTACTCTTAATAGAGGCTTAGTTTATGATTCCTTAATAAATCACAATTATTTTAGTAATTTCAGTTCTGATTAGACTATCCCTTGATAAATTCTAAAATGTTACTTCTTAATCAGGTGTGCTTAAGAAATATCCATACTTGGGGAGATTTTTCAAAATAAACATGACTGATCACAATTCTAAAACTATTAAATCAGACTCTTACAAGTAGGGCCCAGGGTTATTTATTTGGAAAAAAAAAAATCCCTAGATTAGGAATATACACTACTAGCAAGAGACAGAATAGCAAAAAGTTCCTAAAAATATATAACCATTTGAAGAAAGCTTCCTGGCAATGGCACTGTACCCTCTTCAAGAACTAGGGACTCCTTTCCATACCAGGTAATGACTTCCTTCCCTGTGAATAGCATCTCACGTACAACAGGGAAACATTAAGTAAATCTGATTATTATTTTTCAGAGTATCTCTCTTTGCATTTAAGAAAAGGTTGCTTACTGGCAGTCTGGGTTCCTTAACTGAACTCCTTCAAAAACCTCCCACCAACTTAAATACATATTTAGGGTAGTTATAGGAGAAAACGTAAATTTGTATAGTGTTTAAGTGTCAATATTGGATGAGTGTATATCACAGTATTTCAGTCTACCTTACTAATGCAATCAAAGTCTCTAACTTAATTTTCCTATTTCCAGTAGATGTAAATGTCAATTAACTATTTTTGAGATAATCATTAAAAAATGGTTACTTCTTAATAATTATTTTTTAAAGTAAACATACATGTAGATATATAAAAGACTATAAACTATTTAGAAGACTAAAACACTAAATAAAATTAAGACAATAACCAGCTTTGGGAAAATTCCATTAAGAGGTAAAATATTTTTATCAGAGATACAGAATCACAAGCTCCTCAAACAACAAATTATGAAATTTCTAATTATGCATTAGAAAAGAGGGACATGGACAGACACACGCACGCACGCGCGCACGCACACACATACACACACACAAAGAAACCAAAGTTCTTTAAAAGATAAGCTGCAAGAAAGGACATCAATATAGCATCATGTTCCAACCAAGTCTAGGAAACAATACATCAAATTTTATACGACTAAAATATCTGTGTTTACTAAAGGGTTGATATATTATGTTTGAGGACTTCAAGCAACTATCTGCCCAAAACGTTCAACATCAAACAATATTCATACTAATAATGAGATCTGAGAGATTCTCCAATTTAGTTTCAAAGCTATTATATGGTTATATCACCACTCCTCCAGTAATAAGAAAATGCTGGGTAATTGCAGAATGGGTTAATAACTGTTGTTCTATGTGTGGCAAGTATTCAATAATACTTGTTCAATAAGTGAACAGTAATCTAAGGTGGAGCAATAGATGAACTGAGTAAGGGACTATTTGAGAAAATAACAACCATGAAACAAAGCACGATCTCCTAAAAAGCAAAAGGAGCTCTATGGACTTTTTTAGAAATTAAGTTATATGGGGCACCCGGGTGGCTCAGTTGATTATGTTGTCTAACTCTTGATTTTGGCTCAGATCATGAATTCAAGGTTCATGGGTTTGAGCCCCACACTGGGCTCTATACTAACAGCACTGAGCCTGCTTGGGATGCTCTCTCTCCCTCTTTCTGCCCCTCTCCCGTGTGTACTCTCTCTCAAAATAAATAAGCTTAAAAAATTATTAAAAAAAAAAGAAATTAAGTTATATTTGGAGATGATGTATACATTATGTAGATGTACACATGTATACACACTACGTATTATATCTACATACTGTGTAGAGTTAAAAAGTTAAGATGACAACTGAAGATGTTAAGGTAACAAATATAAGAAATAATATAAACCCTAAAAGGAAACTTGAACTCACTTTACTGTATACTAGTTAAAGAGCAAATACTTGATGTCCTAGCAGAGAAGAATAACTAGCAATTTAATCAGTCAGGGTTCTGTCTTATTATCAAAGCTGCTTTTTAAAAATTTTTTTATTAAAATTTTTTTTAACATTTATTATTGACAGACAGAGACACAGCATGAGCATGGGAGGGGCAGAGAGAAGAAGAGACACAGAATCTGAACCAGGCTCCAGGCTCTGAGCTATCAGCACAGAGCCTGACGCAGGACTCGAACTCACAAGCCACTAGATCATGACCTGAGCCAAAGTCGAATGCGTAATCGACTGAGCCACCCAGGAGCTCCTTTAATTTTAAAATTGGTAAACCTTAGGGCACGTTGGTGGCTCAGTCGGTTAAGCGTCTGACTTCGGCTCAGGTTATAATTTCACAGTTTGTGGGTTTGGGCCCTGCGTTAGGCTCTGGTTTCAGATTCTGTGTCTCCACCCCACCCCACCCCCGTCTTGCCCCTTCCCCACTCGTACTCTGTCTCTCTCTCTCAAAAATAAACATAAAAAAAATAATAAAAAAAACTGGTAAACATTGATTCAAGTTTAACACTCAAGAGTATGTGATATGCTTGATATTCCACTTCCATTGCATATAGCACACCACTCAGATTTAAGAAGGGGCCCTTGGACTTCAGTCTGCAAATTCGTATAATTAAAACTCTCAGCAATGGGTAGATATTTATTTTGACAAGAAACAATTATTCTTACAAGTCACTTTCATAAATAAGTCATTTTCATAAACTTTCTAAGGTCCTTTTCACTTTCTATGGACATATGCACCTATGGCTCTGCCTTCCCAACATATTCATTCTTTTATATTCTGTCTCTCTCACACACCAATGTGCACACACACACACATAGCACTACACCAACTCAGTAGTCATTTTCAAGCAAGTACATATTTTTCCTTTCACACCCCACTGTATCCATCCTGTTACTATTTCAGTAGAATCTTAAAAAAAAGATTACCACAACAGATAAGGCACTGGTATGATGGCTTAATTTTGGTAGAAAAGTCAGTCCTGAACGAACTTGGTAATCCCGAAATCCTCCAGCTACGGAAAGTGTGGTGAAATTTATGTGTCTAGCATTTAGAATCCAATAGTTGTTTACAGTCATATAAAAATCTGGTAGGAAATAAAGACACACATTAAAAATTAGTTGTCATTCCTGCAACAATAAAGTATCTATGATACTAATACTAAACTGAATTTCTGTTTAAGCTGTACTGAACTGTCTATAAACAATGTTATTCACATTTCTTGTTTTTGGTAAAGTCGGTATCTTTATACACAGTCTGTTTTCCCATTATATCAGACTACAAATACTAAGAGTTGCTAAACGTCTCAATAAAGAAAAAAGATATCCAACCTTTATTAGTTGTGACAAGTCCAAACACAAACAAGTCTCTAAATCCCACAAAGGTGCTGCTAGATTATGAGGCACACAGTGTAATAAGGAGAAACCTCTAAAATTCTACCAAAGATAGGGGCGCCTGGGTGGCTTAGTCGGTTAAGCGTCCGACTTTCGCTTAGGTCATGATCTCGCGGTTCATGGGTTCAAGCCCCGCGTCAGGCTCAGTGCTGACTGCCAGCTCAGAGCCTGGAGCCTGTTTCAGTCTGTGACTCCCTCTCTCTCTGACCCTCCCCTGCTCACGCTGTCTCTCTCTCTCTCCTAGAAATAAGTAAAACATTAAAAAAAAATTAAATAAATAAATAAATAAAATTCTACCAAAGATAAAGTTCACAATACTAAACTATTGTAGATCTTCCTAATCATGGCAGTATGAAAGATTAGCAGCTCTCTACTATGGCCAGTTACCACCATACAAAGTACTATTTAAGTGCTAAAAATACAATCAGGGCAACGACAATCATTTTAGTCTTGGGACTCGATGCTGCTATGGAAAAATCTAAGGGTTAAGAAGGTTCTACTCATGGAGTACCTGGGTGGCTCAGTTGGTTGAGTGTCTGACTCTTGCTTTTGGCAGTCTGTGAGACTGAGGCCCACAGTGGGCTCTGTGCTGACAACATGGAACCTGCTCGGGATTCTCTCTCCTTGTCTGCCCCTCCCCTACTTGTGTGTCCTCTTTCTTTCTTTCTTTCTCTCTCAAAATAAATAAATAAAGTTAAAAAAAAAAGTTACACTCATTTAGTTTAAGTAACAAGTAGCTCAATGGGAAGAATCTGCAATTTTTCTACTTTTTCTATGGAAGATGAAAAAAATAGTGTCAAAGATTTGAGGCCAAGGCAGGGGAGTTCTCATTTCCTTTTCTGATTATCAAAACTTAATGTATTTTTATCCTGGCATTTGATCCTATTGAGGGCTTCAAATATTTTGGAACAGCAAACTCCTCCCATTAAAGATCTCAGCAGTATTTACTTAGAATATGACTAAGCAGACCCATTCCTAACATCTGCAGGGCCTGGGACAAGAGTAATGAGGTATACATGCTATATGTCTAAATATATGTCTAAATATTTAAAAGTAAAAATTCCAGCTAACAGACTGTTAAATCAACTATCTCTGTCTACCTTGACAAATATATATCTTCAAAATAACCTGGAAGACCAAGTTCAAATTACAAGTTCCAGGATACCTCAGAGACGGAAACTAGATTATGACAGCACAGGAAAAGCAGATCTCTGACCTATTACTGTACTATTGTCTCCTCTTCTCATCCCAATTTCATCCTGTATAACAAGGTAAAAATACCCAAGTTCTACCTGTACCTCATGCAGAGCCATCCCTTAGCCACAACTCAAGTTTACCTATCTGCCCTCAGAACAGATCCAGGTGAGAGGCCCACACAGGCCATGGAAGAAAAGTCTGCAGGTAGGGTTACCTGGATCGTGGTCCAGAAGTAAAAGCACAGCTGCAAGTAGGGAGGGTGCTTGGCCTATATACTTCTCACCTTGTGGGGAACGGCAGTGCCAGGGACCCCTAAAGTGCACAGCCCAGTGTACAGCTTCCATTCCCCTATGGAAGGGCAGTTTTCCATCAAGTATAAACAGGGAATGCACTTCAGGAGGTCATATAGGTCTCTCAAAAACCTAAGATCTGCCACACCTTGAACTATTGTTTTTTTCATTCTAATTTTGGCATACTGAAATATGAAGTAAATACAGAATAAATAAGAAAGAGGATTGCTAATTACTGAAAAGGCACCATGACCTTAAGAATTGCTTTCAGCCTGGAGTGCCTGGGTGGCTCAGTGGGTTAAGTGTCCGACTTCGGCTCAGGTCATGATCTCACAGTTCGTGGGTTTGAGCCCTGAGTCGGGCTCTGTGCTGACAGCTAGCTCAGAGCCTGGAGCCTGCTTCAGATTCTGTATCTCCCTCTCTCTCTGACCCTCCCCTGCTCATACACTCTCTCTCTCTTAGAAATTAAAACAAAAAAAAAAAATTAAAAAAAAAAGAATTGCTTTCAGCCTGAACCTTTTAGAGACAAACCCTCACTAGCCTTCAAAAACAGTAAAATTAGACTCTTTTGAAAGCTCTTGCTTTTTTAAGATGTATTCTGGTAATTTTAATTTACCATACATGGCTCATCCACATAAAATGTAATTTAAAAAATTTTCTCAATTGTGGTGACAAGTATTATGACTATGCCTTTCAATTTTTTTCTAAATCTATAGGTCATTTGTAATTATTAGAATTATTAAAGCAAATTTAAGCAACTTCACTAAAACTAAAAATTTATAGTGAAAGATTTCTATAAGCAAAGTTTTAAATGTAATAAATGAAATGAAAAAATTAAACTTCACTGTAGGTACTGCTGTACCAGATATTCCAGCAAATAAATTATTCTTGGCAATGTTATGTTAAAATGGGTACTTTGGTTTGGAGTCACTAAGGTGTATTTCTCATTTTCATCACAATTAAGACAATGAAAATTTTGAGAGGGTAAGAAATGGTGTAAATTTACTGATCAGGCAAAAGAATTCTTTTTCAAAGACTTTCTTCTGTCATATAATATTTCAATAAACAGTGAAGATAATACTTTTTTTTTGAATGTTTATTTATTTATTTTGAGAAAGAGAGCAGGAGTGGGGGAGAGGTAGAGAAAGGGAGAGGGAGAATCCCAAGCAGGCTCCATACCCAGCACAGAGCTGGACACGGGGCTTAACCTGATGACTGTGAGATCATGACCTTCACTGAAATCAAGAGTCAGATGCTCAAGCAACTGAGCCACCCAGGCACCCCAACACTAGACTCTTCTTTAAACATGTGGGTAATAATGTGTCTTTATTTCCTTTATAGTCCTTACCTATCTGAAAGGACTGCTCTAAGCCTCAAGTGAAATAATAATACATCATGTAAAGTCCTTAATACAACACCCAAAGTATAGCAAAATATAGTAATAAGTATTAGCAATTCTATCTCAAATTCTAAATTTGTTTAAAAATCTATTTAAAATTTACATGGTGACTTATTTATTTTAAAACAAGGCATTTCTACTGTTCTACTTAAAATATAAGCTTATTCTGAATAGAATACTAGAAGAGTTGACAAAACACAGGAAGTTTAATAAACATACTTTAAGAGACAGAGTCATCCCCAAGAGTAACTAAACTGAAGCCCAAGTGTCTAGGGATTATAAGATACCTGCTCTCCACTGAAAGATGCTACTGACAGAGAAAACTAACAAAAGTTTCAATTATTAGCCTAAGCTGAAAGTCACAAAGAAAGATGCTCAGAAAATGGAGGTGTTAATTTGAAACTGCGCTGCTTCACACATGGATAAATCTACAGCACACTCTAAAGACTTTACAGTAGATGTAAATATTTGTTTAATTTTGTTTAATTTTAAACAATAATAAGGAGGTCACTTAGTGTTTATCTAATAGTACTTACCTGTTATGAAACGATCTAATGGCATCACAGGAGCAACATGAGGTGTAGCTTGTGTAATAAGAAGATTTATCAGATCTTGTTTAAAATTTTTCAATGTAAGCAGTGCTCTTGCAACAAGGCCCCCCATAGAATGACCAATTATTGCCACACTTTTTGGAGCAAATTCTTGACCCTATTAAGAAAAATCACCAAGGCATAATGAAGGCTTAATATCATAACAAAAATTCAAAATCCTTTCCTCTACATATGAGCAATTTTATAGAAAAAAGAAAATTAAACTACTTATATAAACTTGCATAAGAGAGAGAAATATATTTTCATTTATTTCTAATTTATATATATTATTATTTTGTATTCTGCCAAATATTTTTAATAGCTATGCTTTGGTTTTCTGAACCAAAATCAGAACCTTTGGTCTAGTGTATCATGTCTTACCATTTGTTATACTGGATGTAAAAGGTATAATTATTATTTGGTTTATACCAGACTATTAGATTTTATAGCACAGAAATCAGAACATTTATTTGAAACTGAAAACATCACAAAATTCAGGACAATTATGGTTGCCATAGGAATATCGTACCTCATCATATTGACAGATCTTATCAAAAGTTAATTCTCTATTGTGTATCTGGGTTTAAAAAGAAACCAGCATTCCAAAACATTTATTTATTCACTGACAATTACATAATTTAGTTTTAAAATAAGCACTGCTTTTTAAAAAATCTTTTCTGTCTCCATATAGTATTCCTAGTTTCACTACCAAACTTTTGCTTATCACCCTCCACATTGATCTTTCATCTATGCCTTCTCTCATAACTATGAATAAATTGGACCTTTTACACAAAAGAATTAACATAATAAGCCAGGGACTATTATCCTTATAATGGACTGCATATAAGTTGGCTTTGGGATACAGTCTGGGACCTTAGATTCTGGGATTTCTCCATAATTTCCTAAATGGTAAAAATGGCTCACTGTCTTGCAAATAATATGGTTTATACTATATACCTGCTGTCCTTCTGGTTGGGATTTTAGTACACGCTAGGCACAGGGTGTCTACATGACCAGCCCTCAGTAAACACTATAAGCACTAAATTTCTCATGAGCTTCTCTCACAGACAACACTTCATGCATCACAATTCCTTGCTGTAGGAATTAAATGGATCTAGTGTAACGCCCCTGAAAGGACATTTGGAGACTTGTACCTGGCTTCCTTTGAACTTCAACCCATGCACCTTTTCTTTATTCATTTTGCTTTGTATCTTTTCATTGTAACAAATCATAACCATGAAAACTACTACGTGCTGAGTCCTATGAATACTTCTGGACAATCACCAAGCCTAGGTGTGGTCTTGGTGATCCCCAACACAGAGCTGATCTTAAAAAACGCCAAACCCTCCATTTGTGCTCTGAAACCCATCCCCTTCTGTCTTCTCAAGCACATCACTCCAGCAATTCTTCTCATTTTTTTCTTGCATTGTTGTTTCTCCCTCTCTACCAGGTCTTTCTTGCTAGTATAAAAATATAATATTATTCTCCCTTAAAACTCTTTTGGGGCGCCTGGGTGGCTCAGTTGATTAAGCATCTGACTTCGACTCAGGTCATGATCCCGCAGTTTGTGGGTTTGAGCCCCGTGTCAGGCCCTGTGCTAATAGCTCAGCCTGGAGTTTGCTTCGGATTCTATGTCTCCCTCTGTCTCTGTCCCTCCCCTACTCATGCTCTGTCTCTCTCTCAAAAATAAACAAACATTAAAATTTAAAAAAAAATAAAAACTTTTGACACCAACTTTGCCCTTAGCACATCTTTCTCTACATCTCTGTAGTGTAACTCTTCAAAATGAACTGCCTATACAGTAGGCAACTGCTGTCTCCAATTTCTCAATTTCCATACACTCTTACACCCACTCCAATTAGGCTTTCACTTCAACACTCCTCCAAAATTGTTATCAAGTCACCAAGGAATCTAATGGTCAATTCTCAATCCTCATCTTACATGAACTATCAACAGGATTTGACATAGATCACTTCTTCCTCTTTGAAATAATTTATGTGGATTCCTTGACAATATATTATCTTGGTTCTCCTCTTACCTCACTGGCTAATTCTTTTTAGTCTCTTGCTCTTTCTTGCTGTTTGTTTCCTTCTCATCTCCCCCATTTCTCTCTCTCTTTTTTTTAACATTTACTTTATTTTTGAGAGAGAGAGAGAGAGACAGAGTGTAAGCAGAAAAAGGGCAGAGAGAGGGAGACACAGAATCTAAAGCAGGATCCAACCTCTGAGCTGTCAGCACAAAGCCCAATGCAGGGCTTGAACTCATGAACTGGAGATCATTAACTGAGCCAAAGTCGGATGCTTAACCAACCAAGGCACCCTACCCCCATTTCTTAATATGGGAGTGACTCAGGCCTTAGTCCTTAGGTCTCTTTCCTATCTTTTTTTTAAACATTTTTTTAATATTTACTTATTTTTGGGAGACAGAGAGACAGAGTCCAAGCATGAGAAGGGCAGAGAGGGAGACCCAGAATCTGAAGCAGGCTCCAGGCTCTAAGTCGTCAGCACAGAGCCTGATGTGGGACTCGAACCCACAAAGCACGGGATCATGACCTGGGCCGAAGTCGGATGCTTAACCAACTGAGCCACCCAGGCACCCCACTTCTCTTTCCTATCTTGACTCCATAGTGATCTCATCCAATCTTCTGGCTTTAAATACATCCATATACTGTCAAACCTCAAGTTATTATCTCCAGACTGGACATCTTCTCTTGAACTCTAACCTTAAATTCCAATCACATCCTAACTACACGTGGGATATCAAACATGCATGTTAAATCAAACCTGTCTAAAACTAAACTATTAATTTCCTCCAAATCTATTCCTCCTACAGTTTCTACCATCTTAGGTAATGGCATTTCAATCCTTCTAGTTGTTCAGCCAAATACTCTGGGTCCTTCTAAATTATTTTTGTTTCACACTGCCCTTCCATATCTGATGTGGCAGCAACCTTGTTGCTTTTAAGACTTATACCACTCTGGGGCGCCTGGGTGGCTTAGTCGGTCAAGTGTCCGACTTTCGCTCGGGTCATGATCTCGCGGTTTGTGGGTTTGAGCCCCGCGTCGGGCTCTGTGCTGACTGCCAGCTCAGAGCCTGGAGCCTATTTCAGAGTCTGTATCTCCCTCTCTCTCTGACTCTCCCCTGCTCACGCTGTCTCTCTCTCTCTCTCGCTCCTAGAAATAAATATTTAAAAAAAAAAAAAAGAAGACTTATACCACTCTGACTACTTCTTATCACCTCCAGTGCTACCAACTTGATTTAAACCACCATTATTCATGCTTTAATTATTGCAATGAGCTCTTAACTGGTCTCTTTACTTCCACTCTCATGTCCCTTCAGTTTATCCTTGAAACTAACCACAGAATATTATCATTAAAACCTAAATCTGGACATGTCATTGCTTTGCTCAAAAATCTCAGCAGTGTCTTTCCCTATCATTTCAAGTAGAAGTTAACATTCTTAAAATTGCCTACAAGATTCTAAAATTTGTCCCCCCCACCCCAAATTTTCCTTTACTAACTTATTTGAATAATTCTGCTCCAGCCACATTAGTCTCCTTGTTTTTCTTCTAATACAGCTCACATGTGCTAGTCTCACATATTTCATCTGCTTCCTCTATCTGAAGTACTTTTTTCCTAAATACTCTCATGTCCTCTAATTTATAATAAATTGTATGCTTCTCAGTACAGATCTCTGCTGGGCACCCTTATTTGTAATTGCAGTCCTCTACCCTTTGTTCCCTATGTCCCTTTCCTATTTTGTTTTACCTCTTGGCATTCATGAAGAATAAATGAGGTTTTCTCCATGTAAAATGTTCTCTCACTTTCCCACACTCAAATTCTTATTTTTTTAAAAATTTTTTTTAATGTTTTATTTATTTCTAGGAGAGAGAGAGAGAGACAGCGTGAGCATGGGAGGGTCAGAGAGAGAGAGGGAGTGACAGACTCTGAAACAGGCTCCAGGCTCTGAGCTGGCAGTCAGCACAGAGCCCGACACAGGGCTTGAACCCACGAACCGCGAGATCATGACCTAAGCGAAAAGTCAGACGCTTAACCGACTAAGCCACCCAGGCGCCCCTCCCACACTCAAATTCTATCCATTCAACAAAATTCAGTTGTCTCGAACTCCTATAGTACCTGGTTGTAACAGGAATCTTATGTTCTAAAAGCTTCAACTTAAAAGGGAGTATATTAGCTTTATTGTAAAATTTAGTATGTAGTCATTAGGGAAAATATGAAAACAAAAATACAGAAGGGAAAAAACTACCAAGTATAACACATTAAAGATATGCTTATTTATTGTGAATGACATTTACGGAGATAAATTTCATTCTGTAAAAACATACTTATCTTATCTGATATAGATATCAAATACATAAAAGATCCTGTGCCTAATTTGGCTTGTCTCCTTCTATAATATCCAGTACAGATTTACGTTTTAAAAATACTTGCTACTGAAGTAACTTTAAAATGTTGGCTAATGCAAGGAACCATGATGTCTAAATTTCATTTTCAAGATAGACAGGAATATCATATTGCCTGAATTTTACTATAGGTACATAGTTAAGTCTTCAAGTCAGGCAGTGCAAGTTCTCCAACATTGTTCTTTTTCAAGACAGTTTGGCTTTATCAGGTACTTTGCATTTCCACATAAGTTTGTCAACTTTTATATAAAAACATCTGCTGGTATTTTCATTTGTACTGCATTAAATCTACTGGCCAATTTGGGAGAGAATTTACTTCCTAATTTTAAGTCTTCTAATCCTTTTTTTTTTTTTTTTAAATGTTTTATTTATTTCTAGGAGAGAGAGAGAGAGACAGCGTGAACAGGGGAGGGTCAGAGAGAGAGGGAGTCACAGACTGAAACAGGCCCCAGGCTCTGAGCTGGCAGTCAGCACAGANTTACCAGAGGAACTTTAAAAAATGTTGATGCCCAGGCAATGACCTTGAACCAATGAAATCAGAATCTCTGGGAACAGGACCCAGGCATCACTATTTTTTTTTTTAATTTATTTCTAGGAGAGAGAGAGAGAGACAACGTGAGCAGAGGAGGGTCAGAGAGAGAGGGAGTCACAGATTGAAACAGGCTCCAGGCTCTGAGCTGGCAGTCAGCACAGAGC